AGGAATTTAAAACGTCAAAAATTGTTTCAGCCTTCGCTGGTTTTTTTTTTTTTTTTTTTTACAGATTTACATAAGTGAGGAGTGCTGAGAGGACAGTCTTTTGAATCCACATATCTTCCTCAAATAATTATGCTGGATCCAAGTAGACAGTCAGCAAAGCAAGCAACTACATTAAAACCTCCTTTTGGCCAACTTCCTGGTGTGAAGACTTCCTGGTATGTGTGCACACAAGAGAGCCACTATTGAGCTACGCAACTATTTAGTTGCTTTAAAACCATCAAAAACAAGCACAAAACACCAATCCAATCAAACAAACAAAAAAAAAAAAAAAACAGCCCTCTCACGCTCCAGCTATGAGGATACCTAAAAGCCACCCGCTGAGAGCTGGAACAAGGCTGGGACCCAGAGGAGAAGGGAGCAAGCACCAATGCTGTGGTGAGCAGAAACAAACTGGCCAKTGGTAGCTTCTGCAACTGGGCCAGAAATAACCTTCTGATCGATGCCCAGTGCACGGGGCCAGGCTGCAGGACTGCTGGGAATCCCTCCCCTTTCAGCTCTGGAGCTCTTACTTTACTCATCCATAAAATGAGGGTAATAGTAGCTAATTGGCAGGCAATGCAGAATAATTAACCCATGAGATGTTTAAAGTCCTCGACTGAAAATACTGGGACAGAACCCAAACCACTTCTGGGTGGATTGAAGGTGGCGAGGATTCATTTGTCTCATCCCAACATCACTTTGGCTTTTTCCCCAAAATGAGCCCTATTTCTGAGCGCCATCTCGTGCTGGCTCCATGAAACAGAATCCCTGTTGTCCCTGCACAGCATCAGCCACACCAGAGCAGTGTAAACCACCATTTCCCAGCTTTTCCCATGGGACTGCCACTTTCCCAGTGATTTGCCACGACTGGAGGCTCCCCCTGTACCCACTTCRCTTTTTCTCACCACAATCATTGACATAGGCAGAACTGTCTTCTRTGGGGGGCGGTGTTTGTATGGGGCTGGCTGAGCCCTTTCTGACTGCAAGTGTGTGCTTCCCAAAAGCCCAACCCATGTAAGGGATAAAACAGGGATAAAACAGGAGATGCAGTACCTTGAAGGGAATGAGCAGAGGGGCAGTGGCTAACCAGCAGTTGTTAGAGGCTCAAGATCTCCATGCTTGGTCCCTGTCCTGGCTAGTGTCCCCAGACACTATAAATTGATAAATCATTAGCAAGGCATGGATCCCGTGACCCCTCTGCCCTGCTCACCCTGGAGGACTCCAGGGCTTTTACAAATCTGAAATTAGCCCTGAGGTTCATTCCCCTTCTGGTGCACATCAGGGCTGCAAATGCCAAATCCCATCTGGGGACTTCTGTGACCTCCCCAGTGCTCGTCCTGCAAGAGGGCAGGGTGGTGACATGGCYGGAGACTTTGAAATAATCGCCCTCAGGAATTTTTCCAAGCCCTCTCAAACACATTTGCCAGGCAGAGGCGAGGTGAAGTCTCCCTCCTGTAATGTGGATGGGCACACAATGGCACGACGGCAATGACACCACCGCTGTGCCTCAGGGAATTGTCACATGGTGTGAAAATTGCCCTTTTGGAGCAATTTATGTCTGGACCAAAGGGTCATTCTTGCCTGTGGCCCTGTCATGGAGCTGAGCGTGGGTACATCTCACTTGTGAGGAGGCATTTTGAAGGTTGAAGTGTGCTGTGGGCACGTTTGGAGGGGTCTGAGGTGGTCTCATTGCTTGGGGTTGAGCACTGCAGGTCATTGAGGTGACAAACGGGGCAGCAGAGCTCTCTGCACCCCAGAACTGGCTCTGTTCCTGTTTCAGCCCCTTTCTCCCCTCTCTCTGCAGGAGTGCCAGCTTCTCCCAAGCCACGAGGTCTGCCTTCTTCATGCGGAGCGACACGGCRGTGCAGAAGCTCTCGCAGGGCAATGGGCACTGTGTGAACGGCATTGGAGGGCAGCTGCACGGCTTTTACAGCCTGCCAAAGCCCAGCCGGCACAACTCGGAGTTCAGGGACAGTGCCTACGACCTCCCGCGTTCCTTCGGCTCCTACAGCCACCCCAAGTCGAGCCTCACCAGCTCTGAAACTGATAATGAGGAGGTCTACACCTACAAGACTCCCAACAACACCCTATGTAAGGARTTTGGGGAGCTCTCCACGGACTCCTATGACATCCCTGCCACCCCACTCTCCATCTACCAGATCCCCAGGACATTTACGCTGGACAAGAACCACAATGCTCTGGCCGTGGCCGCCAGCGACTCACCTGCTGCACCACCCCCACGGCCCCCAAAACCTGGGCAGACAGAGCCACGGTGGGGCAGCCCGCCCCAGAGGCCCCAGCCTGGGGAAAATTTGGGTCTCACCCCCATGGCAGCCACCATTCCCCGGAGAAACACGCTGCCAGCAGTGGAGAACAGCAGACTGCACCGAGGTGAATTTGGGGATGGGCAGCWGGGGGTGGCTTTGTGCTGTTGAGCAGCCTTGGGGAGATCAGTCCCACTGGGTTGTGGTAGAGCTGGAATGCTGGTGGCACCAGCCAGGAGGTTGAACACAAAGAAGCTCTCCCCTGCCAAGATCTGGCCCCATTTTTTGTAATTCAGCAGGCATGGAGAGGCACCCGCAGAGTTCTGYGCATCAGAGCTGCTCAGCCAACTCTTGGCTGTGTTGTCCCTTGAACCAAAACCCCAAATCTGCTTGCTTATGCAGCCCTTTGCCAGATTTTGATGATTTCAGCTGTTTTTAGCTTGCCTTTACTTCCATTCATAACCCAGTTTATCAGAACATATTTCAGCCTGGTTTCCTGGTTTTGCACATCACCTGGGTTTGCACCTCTCCAAAACCCAAATTCTCAGTGCAGCAGAGCCACCATTGCCATTGGCCATGGTTGGGCTGTAGGTGAACCTTCCTTTTCCAAACCTTGTGCCTAGGATGAGATAGTTGCAAAGTAACTTAGGAAAGAAAGCACACTATGAATTATACATACAGCTCTCTGAAATGCTTCCCCCATCTCCTCCTACCTAAATGCCCACACTTAGGCTGAGATCAGACCCATGCTCAGCAGCAGGCAGACCAATCAAAGAGCTTAGCATCCATCTTCCCTTTACTGGAGGCTGCCAGCCTTTACGTTTGCTGAGCAAGCTCTAGCAGAGGTCCCCCTTAACCCAGTCTTGTCACCATGATCTCCCTTTTCTGACACCTTTACCCCGGGATTTTGCTGCCCTTTGACAGAACAGGGCTAGGTCTGTGTGGCACRTGCAGTTGTGTTGATGCTGATTGGGAAGGAGCACAGCAGAGTCTGTGACAAGCTAAAGACTGTGACTTCTCATCAGCATCTCAATCAACAAGAACAGATACTGCCCTCCCAGTGCCTGGATTTGGTTTTCAGGGACCCCTTTTCATCAGCATCTGTGGTGGGACATGTGCATTTGTGGTTGTGTTGCAGCTTCTTCTTGTGAGACGTACGAGTACCCCCAGCGCGGGGGTGACAGCGCTGTGCATTCCGCAGAGTCCATGAACGATGGCTACAACTCCTACCTGGTGAGTTGGCTCGGTGGGGGCCACCACACTGCGAGCACCACCTTCACCTTACACACTCAGAGACAGGCTGGGTCTGGGCTGGACCTCACAGCCCTGCAGAGCTAACTCAAAAAGGGGTCTGTTCATGGTTTTAGTCAAAACCGTGGTGGCCTGCAGGGAACTGATGGAGTGGCAGCCACCTAACCCAGCACCACGTGCAGAGCTTTGCTTCCACACTCTGTGTCTGACTGCAGCATTGGCCCAAAAAAAAAAAAAACCAAAAACTGCCCAGGAGTTTGGCTTCTTCCTGAAGCCTGGGATGCTGCTGAACTACGTTTTGACATGTTGCCAGAGCAGCCTCTTCTGTGCACTTTCTAAGATTTCCTGAGCTGGAAATGACATTAATGAAGCCTTTCATATTGCATTTTAGTTATGGACAGAGCCCATGGAAGGAAGACTTTCCAGGTTAAGTGTGCTTCTTCAGCTCGCTCTGACCATGAGAAAATGCTCAGGGTCTGGGCTATTARGACCTTTTTGAAAGCTCAGGATGTTGCAATGTCTTGCAAACAGAAGAGGTAGACCCTCTCAGGGCAAACTGAYGGCCAGGGAGGGGACAGATCACCCCTTCCCTCTGTGCTTAGATTGTAGAGCGAGTCTCCCCTCAGGTGTTGTCTGGTTATKATGGGATGAAGGGTTTGTAGTAGGATGGGGTTGAGCAGTGCCCAATGCTCACAGCACGTCCTCTCACTTGTCCCCCAGCAGGCCAAGGCAGCGGTGGCCCGCTCCCACAGCACCGACTCCGAGGACAACTACGTCCCTATGAACCCCGGTTCCTCGCCCCTAATCCACGCCGAGAAAGCCAACGACAACGCCCAAAACCTCTACATCCCCATGAGCCCTGGGCCGCATCACTTTGACCTGGTGGGGCTGTCCTCAGGCACCCTTCCTGTGCACAAAGGAGGAGCCGTGGCTCAGTGCCACAGACGGCTGAGTGAAATCCAGCCCCCGCCTGTCAACCGCAACCTCAAACCCGACCGGAAAGGTAAGAACGGCTGTGCATGAATCTTTGGTTGTGCGTGAATCTTTCCAGGAATCCYTCTATCCTCTTAATACTTCAGATCTCATCTGTGAAGTTGTGTCCAGTCCTAGGTGGGGTGTGCTTTGCTACTGCCAGCACAGTCAGGCTTTCAGATGTCCCCCATCCCCTTCCTGTTTCAGGAGTTCCAGAGCACAAATGTAGCTTTTATGGTGCTTGAACAGCCCATCCCAAACCCTTCCAGGCCTTTACAGGAGGTGCATGTCACAGGCACGATCTCACCTCCTTGGTCTGCACCTCTCCCTATGCTCCTCCCCAAAATCTCAGTGTTGTATTCAGATGACACAGATTTTTCCTACTGTTTTCTACTGGCTGGTTGCAGGCAGYTCTTCCCTCAGGACTTTGCTGACATCATTCAAATCCCTCCCCAGTCCATTGTCTGGTTTGTGGCCACCACAAGGAGATGCTGAGGAGAAGGGCTCCCTTCTCAAAGGTGTCAACACCTAACCCCATGAACACTCTGTTGGTTGGAACATAGCTCTTCCACCTAATGAACTGTCCATGAGAAGAGCTTCCACATTGCCCTGCAGCTGTCCTTTCTCATTCCCTATAGGAAAACACTCCAGACAGAGGGAGCTCAGGGCTGTCAGAGCATGRTCTTGTCCTCATCTGATGTATTACCACAGATCTCTAATGAATGGGTTTGGGGCTTGGGCATTTTTAGCAGGTCTCCATTCCCTGGGAGGCATGTTCCCTTTTGGGACCACCCATCCACTTTGGGGCTGTGGGTCAGAGGGAGAAATTCAGTGTTTTCTCACAGTTCTGGCATAAATAAGCACAGGGATTGTGGTTCAGAGTATTTGYCATCAGCAGGGAGGGCTGGGGGACTGATTAGTAGAATGGGAAGTCACCCACCCTAGGTTGGGGACACTCTGATGCAGTCACAGAGGCTGAATTGTAGGAACATGCTGCTTCTGATCAAAGGTTTTTCCCCTCCCCAGCAAAGCCATCACCGCTGGACCTGAGGAACAACACTGTCATCGATGAGCTTCCCTTCAAATCGCCAGTCACAAAATCCTGGTCCAGGCCAACGTGAGTAATGGCTGGGGGATGAATTCTTGCTTTGCCACAGCAGCAGCTCTCTGGTCTTATTCTCACTGGTGTCCACATGTAGCGATTCTGTCACMTCGCCATGGATTAAACATTCCCCACATCGCAGCTGGTGGCAGGAAGATAAATTCATTTGGGTTGGGATTTCACATGAAAGCCAGCATGTGGCTAACAAGCTAATTAAGATCMCTTGAAGACATTTCCTGTTTCTGGGATCTGACAACTCCTGCTGGAGAGCAGCAGCTCTGACCTGGGTCCTGTGGTCCACCATAACTCATGATGCAGCTGAGCCAGCCCAACTCAGCCACGCTGGGGATGGGGGGCATGATTTCACATGCAAGCTATCTCCCCAAAAACCCCACTGTAGTCTCAAAACACAGGGTGACACTCTCAGGCTCTGCCCAAGCCATGTTYTGATTGCCTTGAAAGCAAAGCCTAGCCTGAAGGAAGTCTGCAAAATTAAACCAAAGCACTTCAGAGCTATGTCTGCCAGCCAAAAATAACAGGATTCACACAATTCCAGCTTTGCTACTAATTCACGGTCTGATGTTGTCCAGCAAAAAGCAGAAGCAAAGCTTGGCTGCTGTGACTCYTCTAATAAATTGGATTGTGTGGAGACTGACTGCAGGGCATGAGCGCTGCGTGCTGAAATCACCGCGCTGGGAAGCAGCGAGCAGGGTTTGATTGACAAGAGGTCCGACCCCGGAGAAGCTAATGGATTTTTCCCTTATCAGCTAATCATATGACCCTGCTGTACTGGCTGGCAACGAATRGCTTTTAAAGACACGTGCTTTAATGCCAGAAGCTGATTTCATTATCTTGTTCAGTATAATTAGATTTGGCCAATTGAAAGCAAGACAATTCCTAAGAGGATTTGTTTTCCGGCAAAAAATTTGGGTAGGGCCCTGTACAGTAAACAAATCCTGTAGCTGTGGTGGGGCTGGAGGTGAGAGGCTTCACCAAAGCTCACTTCCCTGCATCCTCCACCATTAAATGTTCCCCATGAGATGAAAGAGTTCATGGAATCTGATTTATGTAGACAGTAGCAGGAGAGTTACAGGTACATAGCAAGCAAGATGTTACTAAAAGTCCTAGAAAGAAAACAATTAAGATACCAAACCCAGTGATTCTGACCATGGAAAGGACAGGCTGGAAAACCTCAATGCCACCAGCTCTTCTTCATGCTCAGACCAGAGCATGGTGATGGCTGCAGGTGTCAGGAGCTGCCCTCTCCCATCCCTGCTTGGCAGAGGACAAGCAGGAGCTGCAGCCATCAGTAACACATCAACCCTTGCTCCTGCAGGCAGTCCTTCAACGCTGGCTCTCTGCAGTACTGTCGCCCTGTCTCCTCGCAGAGCATCACCAGCACTGACTCGGGAGACAGCGAGGAGAACTACGTGGCGATGGTAAGGGCCCCACAGCTAAGATAGAAGGTCCTGGCAGGACATACACTCTCCCCAGCTCTGCAGATAYATTCCTAGCTCATGACWTGGAAGTGCTCAGATAGCACAGTGYGGAGTACATCCTTATGTGCATCCTTGAATGCACAAAACAGGGTGTTTCCTTCTGAAAATGACATGTCTGGTTGGAGTTTTAAATGTGTATGAGAGCAGGAACATGTATCAGCTACTTTGCCAGGAAYTGAGAGGGGATAAAAGTTTATATGGACTGTCAGGGTGTATTTTCCTAATTAAAGTAGATTTTTTTCAATGTTGTTTTCCCCTAAGAGCTGCTGACATCATGTTTCTATGGGGGCAGGGGCTATCASAGCAGCTGGAGGGAGTGGCACTGCYTACAGGGAGGGGATTTTGTCTCTTGGTGAAGCTACTGACTTGAAGCATATTTTTGAGGCTATGTAACTAATAGGRTAGAGGAAATCTGTGCTCTGTGTAGCATGGCTGTGATTAGTGAAGATCCCAGAGCTGGCCTGGCCTCACTGAGGTGTGGTTCTTGGGACGTGCTAAAGCCCACGTCTGTTGTCAGGCATGTGAATAAAATCAGSACAAAGGCAGCAGAGCTGCTCTGATACATGAAATCAAGAGCATGAGCTTGAAATACTTGTTAGCACAATATATAACATTTATAATATCTCAGCAGTTCTGCACATCCTTGTCCCAGAGGCAGGTGAGCAAATATCCAGGCTCTTTTAAAGGTGTCTCCAACGTGTTTCATTTCTGGATTTGTGTTAATTTCCTTTTTTCTTCCTTCCTTCCCATTTTAATCCTCATTATCTCTCCTGTCTCTTCCCTGCATTAGCAAAACCCCATTTCTGCTTCTCCTGTTCCTAGTGGTACCAACAGCCCAGCGCCTAAAAAGAGTTCGGGGAGTGTGGATTACCTGGCCCTGGACTTCCAGCCAAGCTCACCAGGGCCACACAGGAAGGTACGGGGGATTTYATGAACTTCTGGTTAAAACTGATGCATTTTTAAGGGGTTCTATGCACATTGGCAACAGCACASTCCAAACAGTCTCTGATGAGGGCTGGAGCACCTCTGCTGTGGAYACCAGCTGAGGCAGGTGGGATTRTTCAGCCTGGAGAAGAAAAGGCTCCAAGGAGATCTCAGAGYACYTTCCAGTGCCTAAAGGGGCTSCAAGAGACCTGGAAARRGACTTTTTAYGAGGGCRGRCAGTGAGACTACAAGGGATAATGGCTTTAAACTGACCAATGGCAGGTTTAGAATAGATGTTAGGAAGAAATTCTTTACTATGAGGGTGGTGAGGCACTTGAGCAGACTGCCCAGGAAGCTGTGGATGCCCCATCCCTGGAAGTCTTCATGGCTAGGTTGGATGGGGCTCTGAGCATCCTGGTCTAGTGGAAGGTGTCCCTGCCTGTGGCATGGTTGAAATGACATGATCTTTAAGGTCCCTTCCAACCCAAACTATTCCATGACCCGCTGCTGTATTTATTCTAGGTCAGACTCAGTCTCTCTTGCATRTTTGCAGCTTTGCAGGGTTCAGAAATGCTTATGAGACCACAAATTCAGCTGGAGACTGCATATATTGAAAAGCTGTCAGGAGGTATCCCAAGAAGTATCAGAACTTGTTTTTCCCTCCTTCAGAACAACAGGTCCTCCAAAACCAGGGTTGGATTTTGCACCCTAAAGGTGAAGGACAAGGCTTGTGTAAACTTTTGTGGCAGCCACTTGTGAGTTAGCCTCACTTTCTCAAACACTGCCTTGTTCCTTAGGCAAAGCATCCCACTGGTTAGATCTTTTTATTATTTGACAGTCGTCTCCTGATGGTTTGTTTCTGCCCAGCAATACTTCTGCAAGTGTTACCCATTTAAATTATACCCMGTTCTGGAAAAGTGATTTTAGACCATTAAAAAACAATCTGGCYCCAGTTACAAGCAGATGGAGGTCTTCTGAAATGCTTGTAGAGGCAGAAAAAAACTCCAGGACTCCAGAAACTATTGTTTAAAGTTATCACTTTGTTCCTCAACATATCTCTTGGTTGACGTGCAAACATATTTATTGTTTTGGGGCTGAAAATGACCTAGTGCCATAGGTGAGTAGAGTCAGCAAGCTAAAAGGGATTTTTATGTGTATCTCTAAGAGTTCTGGAGTTCTTTACAGGCAAACGAGAGAGATGTAAGGCTGAACTCACCATATCAGCAGTTAAAGAACACAGTTACAAGCAAACATCCACGTCCCAGAATTTGTGAGAAGGTAGAGACCCAYATGCTGTTTCTGCCCTCCCACTGCACTGCAGTCTCATGCCAGCAAGAGGCAGATCAGGCTGAAATCCCTCACCCAAGTCTCTTTGGGAGGTTAGGGGGAGGGTGATGAGCTGTGGAGTCTGCAAGACAGCAGGAATGGTGCTGGTGGGCTCAGTGCTGCGGCAGAAAGAAGTGAGAGGGCAGAGCAGGGAGCTCTGAGTGACCAGGCGGTGCCGTGTTTCTCGTCCCCACAGCCCTCCACCTCGTCGGTCGCCTCAGATGAGAAGGTTGATTACGTGCAAGTGGACAAGGAGAAGACGCAGGCGCTGCAGAGCACCATGCAGGAGTGGACGGATGTGCGGCAGTCCTCGGAGCCCGCCAAGAGCACGAAGCAGTAGTGCCCGCAGCAGGCAGCCAAACAGGCACATGCCCTGTTGGTTTCCCCCAGCTRCAGCCCCACTGGGCTGCCAGATCCACTTGGGCTGATTTCTAAGACTTGTGTGTGGAGGCGAAGGGGTTTCATTGGTTTTTTTTCCTCTTAAAACAAAACAAAACAAAACTTAATTTCAGGGGAAGACTTGGCGGATACTGTTTGCCAGTGGTAAAGACCAACCGTGTTCGGTGGCTAGGTTTGTGCTTWATGGATGCACTGCTGGATGCACTATCCAGGAACTTTGACTTAGCAATACCAGGTTTCACCCTACACATCTTTTGCTTGCAGCGATTAAAGCCATCTCRTATGTGCTCACACTGCATCATCTCTCCCCATCTGCTTCCATGCCACACAGGTTTTCAGCATCTCACATAGGATATCATTCCCCAGCTGTGATTCTCCACTCCTTATGGTTGTCCTCTTCTCTGCCTCCTCCCAGTCCCAAAACTGAGCAAACTGATTTCAATTCCTTTTGAAATCACTTTTCTTGTACCGTCTCTTGTATATAATGTGCCCAAAACCTCTGAAGGCTGTTCTCCTCCTGGCTGGACAGCCCCYGTGGTTTTGGTTGGGGTTGTTAACCTTCAGGAGCTTGACAARCATTCACACCATCCCACTGAGCTGACTTAGGAGCCCAGGGCTTGCCCCATCATTTACACAGGTGTCTTCTGTTTATCTTCTCCATCAGCTCTCAAGGTCAGTGGGCTGCAGAGATTGGCTTTGGAAGGGGCTGGAGAGAGTGGCTTTGGAAGGTGGAATTTAAGCGTTGACCCACTATCTGCCTATCTGAAACCAGTTCCTGTGAATCTGACCCTAAGAACCAAAATTTGCCTTTTGTGGCACCAAAAGCCCATAGAGTGAGAGTCCTACATGGTGGGCACCCTGAGAAGCTCTGTGGTTGAGTTTGAGGGGGTCTGGGGGTCTCTGGAGACCTTGTGTGCATGGACTGGCATAAGGATGAGTGACAAGAAGGGAGTGGGAAGGCTGCTGCAAGGACTGTGGGAAGGCAGGTGCTGTACTGCAGAGGTTGGTCTCGGGTGAGRAAGCCTGGTGGAATGTTTCTTGGAAGGAAGAAGAGGAGTAGTTGAAATGTTGGTTGATGGTGAGGTCAGAGGCTTGGGAAGAGGCTGGTCAGGAGAGTCAGGGCGAGGCGTTTCAGTGTGAGCTTTAACGTGGCGTTGTGGCTGGTTTGTGGAGGGTGCAAAAGGCTGAGCTCTTTTCCCCTCATCTCCAGCAATGTTTCTTCAACACAGAAATGGGGCTTGCTGACATGAATGACCCTAGGCTCTAATTATGGGTGGGAGTCTGTTGTTGTCCCTTGCCAGCATCCTTAACACATCCAGGCTTTGGGATCGCTCCCCAGGCAGCTGCTGAGCACAGAGAGAAGAGAAGGATGAGGCAATTTAATGCAGAGATAATAATTCATGATCTCATGAAAACAGGAAGAACTAATGATTGCCATGGAGCAGCCTGATTGCCAGACTGCAAGYGCTGACACGAATAAACAGGCTGACYGCAAACCAAGAGCCAAATGAAGGAGACATTAGAAAGATTAGGTAATAATATTTATTAAAGAGCTGRAGCTATTCTTTCTGCAAGCTGAACCCCTCCCAGAGCCGTGGGCTCTGTGTTCCACCAACACCACCAAGTTATATTGATTATTAATGCTTAAGCATTAACACATTTGTTTAATCTTGGTCTGAGTTTGGAAAGGGCCAGACATGACCCCCATGGGGATGGGATACCAGACCCTTAAGGGCTGTGTGCTGCTCTGTGCTGGTAAAATAAGTCTTGAACTTTTGACACCCTTTTGTATTTTCTTCTCACATGCCATAAAAGGGAAGGATGTTAATGGAAAAGCTCTGACAACCCTGTTAAGACACTGGAGTGTTGGGCTTTTACAGGAATAATGAAGCAAATATCCTAATCCTTATGCTAAAAATAATAATTACTAGAAGGAAAAAAAAATCAAAGCCCTAAAGGGGAAGATATAACACAGTCAGATGTTTTCTGAAGGTCAGGGGATGTGTTACAGCCTGCAAGGGCCTCTGTCTCCTGCTGGGGGTTGCACACTTACCTGGTGAGATGACGAAATGAAGACTAGAATGTACTACCAGTCCRTGTTTTCACCGAAACAGATACATTCCTCTCTTTTTTCCCCTGCTGAGCACCAAGCAAACAGCACCTCCAAACTAAAGAGAATCCCACAGACTGTGCCATGCAGACATGAGTGCATCAAYCCCTCCTGAGAGCATTAAGTAATCAATGGCTTCAGTGGAAATAGTCACCCATGATGATTGCCGAGCTGATTACAGCAGTCCCTGGTGATTAATGTTTGTGCAGTATTTAGTYTTAAACCATATTGAAAAGCAGCTGCTTTAATTACATGGACTGCCAAAAGAACTTTGTCCTGAAGGCATTGAGTTTATCACATCCACTTTATACTTGGATTCTCAAGTATGAYAGACTCCTTTGTTAGAAATAGGTATTTTAGGAAGCTGAGAACATTGCAAATTATTCATTTTAATTGCAATTAAACTGGCTTGAGCCTTCACGTCAGAGCCTGCTTCATCGCTCTGTGGTTTGAATTGGAAAAGAGATGTGCTTAACATGATGTGTGCTCATGGAGAAGGGTTGTGTGTGGGACAAGCACCATGACCTCAATATTGAGTTTTATGAAGATCCATGGTGACAGCTCAAAGCTTTCCCCAAGCTTTAAAATTTTAAGCAGGTGTTTCTAAAGGCAAAAGTCTCCAAAAGCGTGTATCCCTTGCTGTGAGTGTGCAACTGCTGCTCTTGGTTTCTCTGTCTGGTGAGATGTGTGAGCTGCCTTGGAGCTGATTTGCTCTGAACTGACATTGAGTGTTCAGTGGGAAATRCATTTCCAGCCCTAAATGGATGCCAGGCCTAGGCTTAGTCTCAAGCTGGTGAAAGAAAATAATGCATGAGCACAGACTGCACCAGGGCAAAGCTGGGAGTCTGGCAGATAGGGCCAAATGCAGGGTTGGAACCAAAAGGTAGGGAAGGCTTGGCTTGACTGGGGCCTAACTGGCATGGATTTGGACTCTGGGCCACTGGCAAGGGTGATATATGGGAGAACATGAAATTGGGATGAAAGAAGGCAGGAGAGTTTGCCAGTGAGGTTTGGGTCTCGGTCCTCACCATGTGCTCCTTGGGCCTGAGTCTTGAGTCGGATGTGCGGACATTTGTGGGGTGTGGAATGCTCAGGAAAAGCCATGCATTGATGGGAGGGGAGCCATCACTTCCACCACTCTCGGGACTTACCCAGGGCATTTCAGTCTCAAGGGGGTCATCCTGCCTGACAGCACAATGCCTGTGCTCTGGCTTTCAGGGATCCTTGGTCCATTCACCCAGCTCTGAGCTGGGCAGGAGAAACCCTACAAGAGATGTATGAGGACCAGGATGTGCTGGGCTACACCTTGCTGAGGGGCTCCCATGAGCTGTTCATGGGTCAGCAGTGCCATTGTTTCCCTGGGTTTTCCTGTGGGGTGCCACGTTCCTCCTTGGAGCTTCTCAAGACCAGTCTAGGTCAACCCCATAGCTGACCCTTCTCAGAGCATCCCTTCCACCCTGAGACCCTGTGCTGCTGGGCTTGAGTGGAGACTCCTCCATGAGAGGGAAGGGCCCAAGGGGTTGCTTAGAGCCCTATAACATCCAAGACAGGGACTGGGCCATTTCTCTGGCCATGACGCCAAATGGCAAGGCACACAGCTCAACCCCTAAGGCCATACTTCCCAGTGAGAGGACCTGATCTATCCTGGGCCATCCCTCACACCTGGGAGACAGCTGGCGGGCCCAGAGCAAGTTATCCAGGACATGGACACACAGTTCTAGCAACTGGGAGACAGCTTGAACCTATAAATTTGTTAGGCTAGATCCAGAGCTCTCAGCAGCCCCGTGCACCTCCTACACCCTGGCATCCCAGTCCCTTAAGCATTCCAGGAAGAGTTGGCTTGTTTTGGCTACCCAGTGATCTTGGCTCTTTGGGTGGGGTACAGCCATGTCCAAGTCTTATGGAAGATGTTAAAATAGTTCCCAGGTTCTGTCTGATCTTTCTGGCCCAGGAGGCAAGTAAGAGGATGGTTTTTTCAAGTCATGCTTGCGTTGTGTTTGTGTTTTCCCACCCGGCGTAGTAACAGTTCCACTCCATGTGAAATTTGGCACCCACACTGTGTTCCATTGGAGAGAAGCTGTCTGGGTGAGGTGGATGCTGCAGGGCTGGGATTATGGCACAGCCCAAGYTGTAACAGGAAGGGGGAAGAGCAAAGCCTAACCCTGGCACCAGCCAGAGAACACACGTGGCCAATCCAAGAGCCATCAAGAAAATCAGAGGGACAAGCCCARCATCAAATCACAAGGGCCAATAAGCCAATTTAGGGCCCCTGATGAGACTGAGCGTTTCACTTCTCTGCCCCATCTTCCCACATGTACACAATGATCTTGCAGCCGTTAACGATGCTCTTGCRGGTAGAGATGTGCGCCTTTTGATCACAATTTTTCCTTGGCCTGGAGAAGTTCATCCCTCCATCAGCCTGTCCTTACTGTCTCATCTTTGTAGTCACAATTTCATCTCCTTGTTCACAGCTCCTAGTGTAGTGCTATTGATCAGGTTGCTGATTTAGCATTGACTCTTACTGAGGAAAGTTGCTATGTAGCAAGGTGTCATCAAACAGCTGTCCCCTTCTGGCCCACGGCCAGCTGGTCCTGGCACGTGGCAACCAAGTTTTAACACCAGCCAGTAACATCTGAAACAAAAGCTGAGCCACATGGCTCCATCTCTTGAGCTAAAAGAGTTTCTCAGCAGTTGCTCCCAGTCAGCAGGCACTTAACATTTGAGGAAGCCCTCAATAAAGGGTTTATTTGCAGGCCAGTGGGTTGACTGCATGGGAGAGGTTTGCCCCAAGACCAGGAGATAAGAACCATCGTTTTTATTGTCATTCTCCGGGTGACACCACACGTGGGACAAGAGGGTTCATGTGAACTCTGTATCCCGCTTTTTCTCCGGCTTGTTAAATGAAGGTTTTTACTGCTTATTTCCCCACCTCACAGATGTGTCATGAGGTGTAATTAATTGACATCTAATAATGCAAAGAGCTGTTTTGAGTCTGCAGGCAATGGCTGAGCAGCATGTGGTGCTACCCTGCYGTCATGCCCAGCATCATACACAGCMCTGCACATTCCAMTCTGCAAAACTCATCAAAAACCCCTTCATCCTTAATTCTTCACCAAGGTGAAAAAAAAACTTGGCAGGATTTTCTCCTGAGTGAGGGGGGTGGGGAAAATGCCATTTGCACAGTTTTCAGCRTTCTGCTGCCACATTGACCCTGAAAATACCACAGTTTTTTTAGCGAGCCCTTTGGATGTGGTGGTTGAACCATGTCACAGAGAGGGGAAGGGAGCAGGACCCTGGGCTCCACGGGGAGCCTGTCAATGAATCCCGTAGGGTTAGGACCAAACCTTTAGAGTAGTTATACCCCACTCAACCCAGCCCTTGGCAAAGTCAACATGTCCCACTGGCTTTGGGCATCTGTGTGGGAACAGACCCAGTCAAATTAGGGTAGTTTTTTCCATTTGTTTTTTAACCTGCTGCGAGGAGGGGTCGGAGCCCCGGCTGTGAAGCTGTTGCGTCGGCAGCCGATTCGCAGGGATGTTTTGTGTGTTTCAAAGCCTATGACTGTTCTTAAAGAGGAGTATTTTTAATTTTTTGATTTCCATTTGTAGAAGGAAAGACAAGAGTAATCTGTGGCAAACTGTACAGTATGTGTCTTCTTGTGGTGTCACTGTTTGAATGGTTATTAAGTTTTCAAATCACTGTGGACAGCTAATCATTTAAGTTATTAATTTATTCTTTGGGGGGTTGTTGTTTGKTTTTTTTTTTAAGTAATTTGAAACAATTATTTATCCTGTAAATCAGTCTTGAGTGAAGCCTAGATAATACTTTTTTTGCTGTTAATAAACATGGTACATGCCTGACGTGAAGGTGATCTCATTTTTAAGTACTGTATATGCAACAGAAAAGCAATGGGAAAATAAAAGAATGATAATAAAAAGACATCGCTCCCTGGTGATTCCCAGCATGGATTCAGAGCAGGGAAAGAAAGGGGAAATAATTGARCAGATCAAGTGTGATTATGTAGCACCTTTGAGGCTTTCAGAGCATCTTCTCAGCATGCTGCCACATATCTCCTACAGCTTSAGATGTCCTGTATGGGTAATGAGGGCCTTTAGGAACCCAAGCAGTGTATTTTTCAGCTGCTAAATGGAGTTTCCTGTCATATATCTGCTCTGCTGTGTGTGGGGTGAGGACAAATGCTGCCTTCCTCACCCAKCAACAGCTCCACACCTGTGAGCCCCAGCCCAGGACACCAAATCACCCACACAACCTCAGCACAAGGACAAATCTTTTTCCCCAGAGTTAAAAGTTCAACCCTGCCCTTTAAGACATTATATCTGTGTTTTAGGAAAAATAAAATACAACTGGGGAAAAACACCTMCCTAAGCACAGCTTCTGTAACACCTCTTTGAGACAAGAACAGCACTACCTCACATCTGCAGCACACCTGGCATCCCAAACCAAGAGCTGAGCACTCCCCTATGGGTTCTCCTTGACCGGAGGCATRTGTGACAGAAAAAATAAGCCATACTATTACATATACTGCAGTATACCCTTTCTCAATATGCCATATACAAAAATTCCTGGCATTACTAAAACTAGTATCAATGTAGTATGTACTGTAGTTGGTGTAGCACAGGTAGTGATGCACCATACCCATACAATATTAGACTTCTGAAAGRCCTTTAATATGGTCCCTTATAATATTCTTACCTTTGAATTGGAGAGGTATCGGTTTAATGGATGGGTGGACCATTAAATGAATAAGGAATTGGAGGGATGGCCACATTGGAGGAGTTACAGTCAAGGACTGTGTCCAAATCAGCAATGAGTAGTGTTCCTCAAAGATCTGTACTGGGATCAAAACTATTTAATATCTTCATCAAAGACATTGTGGGATTGGCTGAATCCAAAAGGGAAGTGCAATGTAAATAATGACAGGAAATTAACAGGGACTAAAACAGTCAACCTCATGACACCCCTGACACTCYCCAGGCTGCCATCTATGCCCAGAATTGCGTGCTGTTTGCCATCTCAGAAAATCTTGGGGGAAAAAGCAAGACATATTCAGGGAAGAGCTTAGCTATGATACAGCCTCTCCATTTTTCATGTTGGTTTGATTATCTGTCTTCATTATTTAGATTAGGATKTCATCAAATTAAAGACAGTGTCCCACAAAAGCACCTTACAGCAAGCAGCACAGAAAATGCCTTCAGGTGACCCTCCAGAATAAAGAAAGGACCTAGCATGAGAGCAACAGGAAAACTTTTGGCAACCTCTTGGAACAGGAAATAAATAGACATCTATTAATAAAACCAGGAAACACTGTACTTTCTGTGAAACTTCAGCTTTTCCTCTTYGCACTTGACTTAGAAACAGCAAACACACTCCACTGCTCATCTGCAAGGCTCCAGTATTAGTACTGTGATCTCCTTCTGGAGATCTCCTCTGCCTGCTACCCTCTTCCACGCCCACCAGTCTGCAGGACTATCCCCCATCCTTGAGGCTGGATGCTCAGGCTGGAAGCATCAGCTTCCCCATCTCTTTTTTGGACCTGTCGACCCAGTATCTATCAGTACTGCAATAAGACACTAAGTCTCTAAGTTGAATTTATTAATTTCCTTTATTTATATAGAGGAAAGGCATTAAAATAATATGATTGTATACACCAGAGATTTGACCTCAGCTGTCCTTTCTAGCAGACTTTCTGCTCACATTTTCCATAGCAATGTCTGTGCTTTGCCTTTTCCTCCACAGCAACACAGTATTTCTACCCCAATACCCTATGGTCAGGATTAGGCCCTGCACTTAGGACCTAAGGCACAAGTCTCTGCCACTTGAGCTAGAGAAATCTCTACTACAGGTGTGAGGGAGGAGCAGGCAGGGGACAACAGAKAGGGAGGGACATGGGAGAGAGCTGTGGTCCTGTAGATGTGCTGCCCGGGGCTTGTGTTGGCCATCTGCCACCAAAATCAGCCCCTGTCCCACTACTGATTTATATAGTACATTGGYTTACATAGTATATATTGATATTGGGTTGATACAACTTATCTGGTTGGCCTACTCACACTGCAAATCRGCATTTGAAAAAGAAAAAAGTCACGAGTTTAGGGGTGTTCTGTCATCTGCTGCTAAGTTCAGGGCATCCCAAAGGAAAGCCCAGATTTTACAGGGCAGATCCAGCCTGGAAAGCCATCAAATGACAGCAGCAGAATGACAATGAGTCCTAAAGACACATCTGGAAAAAACAGCTGTATGTCTGGGCCTGCTTTGCATGCTAACAGCATCCAGAGGCCATCAGTAACACAGTGGGTCGGCACTGGAGCCCAGAAACACCAACTGGATCAGGTCAGCGTCTCTTGGCTGGAAGGGTTGTGCCCCTGTGTCTCCTTTGGGTTTCTTGCAATGCAGCATAAGACCCTTCTGGCTGACCTGYCACTGCTCGCTGTTACCAAGCAGTTCCACAAGCTCACTGCCTCACAGAGCATCATTGCTACATTTTAGCACTTTTCAGGCATTTTTCTACCTTCAGAGCTTGTCGTGGTGGTTCCCAAACCACACTGAAGAGAAATACAACAACTGAGCAGAGGTCCCCCCAGAACCAACTTAGTGCCATGGGAAGGGCTGCAGACAGGTTCTGCATGGGTCATCTCCATGCCTGGGACCCCGCTGGGTCTGTCCTCCTCCCCATGCCATCCCAGTCACCTCCCCAGGCTGGTGGCATGGCTTACAGCAGGCAAGACATGGCTATGTGAAGCAAAAGGACACTTCYCCGAGCTGTCGGCAGCTGCTCATCTCTGCGTTAGCTTAGGTACATTAAGGCATGAAAACCAAGTGCATAGGAAGCAGCGAGACCCTCCAGGCGCCTCCAAATCAGCCCCTGAGACCTTTTCCATTGAARTGTTTCTCAAATCCTCCTCCAAGATGCTGTCATCAGGGTGAGGAAGAGGAGCCTCTGGTTTCAGGCGGGCCCCATGGACATTGCCGATGTGGTTTAAACCGTTGGCTAAAAGACGAGTCCGTGGAAGGAGCCGGATCCRCCCCCGCCCGCTGCTGGGCTGCAGCCCCCAGACGAGCTGTCATCATCCTTGTCCCTGTCCAAGTCTCTCCACCACAGCGGGGATTTCGGCAAGGCGGAAATATAGGCGGCTCTGTTCCTTGCTTCTTTTTCCTGCTCCTGGGAGAAGGAAGGGGGAAAAAGAGCACAAGGATATCAGCACATAAAGGACGCAGATGGGGGCCAGGAGCCTGTTTGGTTCCCCCTGTGAGCTTACTTCAAATTAAACTGGGTTGTGGAGGCCATGTGCTTGTTTCTAGAACTCAGCAGGAGGGATGCAGCAGAGCATTGCAGCTCCCCAGTGATCCAAACCCAGCCCTCCCATGTCACCTCTGGGAGACGAGCTACCCCTCAAACCGCCCCACATGCAGCTCATGTCATAGGAGACACTGTTGTTTGGAAAATGCTGAGCTCCATCAGCTGAATGAAATCTGTTCTAGTTTGTAGTCCCAGCTCACCCCCTGCTCAGGGTAGCTGTGGCTACCCCATCCCTGGCAGTGTTCAGGGCCAGGCTGGATGGGGCTCTGGRCAGCCCGGTCTAGTGGAAGGATTCCCTGCCATGGCAGAGGGGTTAGAACTGAACAGCCTGYAAATCCCTTCCAACCCAACCCATTCAATGATTCTGTGATAAGAAGGGGAAAAAAAGACCTTGCTTGCAATGGCTCAGGTGAATGTCAGAGATGGTAGGAAGGAGTAGTTGGTTACCAGTATGGGAAGGTGGGAAGGAAAGAGTAGAATGTAAGGAAGAATTTTTTTTACAACAAAGGTGGTGAGGCGCTGGCCTCACTGGTCAGATTTCCCAGAGAGGCAGCAGATGCTCCATCCCTGGGAACATTCAAGGTCAGGCTGGATGGGGCTCTAAGCATCTGAACTAACTAAAGGTGTCCCTGCTTATCCTGCAGGGGAGGTGGGCTAGATAGCCTTCCAACCCAAGCTATTCCATCATCCCCATCTTTCCCAGGCATTTCAAAGAAAATTTCAGGTTGAGCTTCCAGGGGCAGACAACATTAAGTCAACCCCCAGCACAGCCACAAGATGTCTTGTACCAATCTCCGTGCCCAGTTTCCACAAGAAAACTATAACCTGTTTATATCTGGGTGCTAAAAAGGAAAAKGAATTTGGCTTCAGGGAGTGGGTGGGTATCTGCAGGATATTAACTGCAGGACAGGATCCCAGTGCTACCCGGATGGGTGGGAGCGTGGCCCGTGAGCCGGACAGCTGCAGGGTCGCACCCTGCAGTGCACGGCAGCGGGAGTTACCTGCAAGAAGAGGATGTTATCTTTGGAAATGGCTTCCATCAAGTCTTTGTGGAGGGAGGGCTCTCCATGCAGGTGGCCAGCCTCAGCCAGAGCCTCGTGCAGCAGGCAGCTCTGCCGGCCCGGCCGCTGCCGGTAGAAGAGGACATAGGCAGTGTCCTTGGGGAAGAACGAGGTGACGTTGCTGACYGATTCGAAGGAGGAGAAGGAAACTCTGGTGTCATTGAAGAGGTACCACTGGATTTCAAAGTCCAGCTGCTTGTCAGAGGCTGATCTTGGCACCCCATCCCGGGGCTGTCCGTGGGGGATGGTGTCAGTACACTCCCTGGAGTAGCAGTAATAGTGGCCGCTCTCAGAGGAGACGCCTGAATGCACCACCACACTGCAGAGGTCATACACGACAGTCATGAAGCCATTCCCTGGGACAGCACCATCCTTCCCATGACGGCAGACTTCCTCAGTTTCCTCTGGAGCAACAAGGATGGGCAGCTTGAGCACCACAGGGATGGAGACATTGTCCAAGATCTTCTTCCTCTTCATAGTGCGTGGGTCGAAGGAGAACCGCAGCAGTGTGAGGATGAGGTAATGTGGACCCTCTGTCAGCTCCGCCACCTTCTCAGCGTCCTGCAAAGATGCACATTTCTCACAGTGGTATTTATTCTCTGCTGTCAGTCTCTCCGGGGACAGAAAATAGTTTATTAAATCTGGGACAGATCTGGAGTCCTTCGGAGCACATGGCTGCTCCCCAAAAGTCGGGAGAGGGTCTTTGGCTGCATCCACCCCAACATCATCACCATGTATGGGATTTGCTGCTTCTCCTGGCTCCTGGAAGCCCAATGATTCCACTGACACTGATGGGGCTGCATGGGGGTCATTGGCCACGGGGGCCTTCCTCTGGATCCAGGGAGAGCCCATAAGCCGGMCTGCATTTTCAGGGGGCTCAATGAACTGCGGGCCAATTTCTTCCACTGGTAGAACAGATGTGCTCCTGCACACRTTCCTGTCCGATGGAGGAAAAGCCAGGGACAGGTCTGTGAAGGCTTCTTCTCGGGAGGAAACATTCAGGCACTTCAGGCAGCGGATCTTTGTCATCATTTTACCCCCAAACATCTTCTCAATCAATGTCTTGTTTAAGTAATGATGTTCCACTGCCTGAGACATCAAGCTGGATTCCTTGAGTTTCTGGTAAATCCTTTTTCCAGTTTTTTCTTCTTCATGCAATCTTTGGCAGGGAGGAAAAAGGCTATGTTATGCATCAGTACACTAAGAGGTAGTTTCTAAAGTAGGGTTTTGTTCTTCACTGCAAGGGGGTAATCCCAGTTAACCTGCCTGTGGCCAGGGATGATGCTGTGGGAGAAGGGTGGGATGGAGTCAGGCAGAATTTGGGAACCTGAAGTCTTCATGTGCCACTGACCCCTCCACTTCTAGAGGGATCACTGGGATGCCAGAGATTTGGTATTTCTAGGTAAAAGGCAAAAAATAACATTTTACAGAGGAGGCTGAGTGGCTTGTCAGGCAAGTCTCTCAGGTTGGTACAGTTTTAGATTAGATATCAGGAAAAATTTCTTCATTGAAGGGGTGGTCAGTCTTTGGAACAGACTGCCCAAGGAAGTGMAATCACCATTCCTAGAAATGTTMAAAAAACATGTATATGTGGCATTTAGGGACAGGATTTAGCAGYGRACTTGGCAGTGCTGGGTTAATGSTTGGGCTCAATGATCATAAAAATCTTTTCCAACCTTAATGATTCTGTAATTCTGTGAATTCCCTGTGTCTTCAGAGCAAAGGCAGAAATTTTCAAGTTGAACTAAGTTCTGACTTTACCCCTAAGATTGTCCAAATCTTATTTTATTAAGGAGCCTCAGACCATTCTCACCATTCTCAGGAGTCTCACGATTCTCACCCCATCCCTCCCCTCTCCCAGTTCCTCTGGGTCTCAGCCACTCGCCCTATTTGCATGCGGGTCAGCATTAAACATTACATTGGGTTTAGGGACGCCGTTGTCACCAGGTTCCAAAATCATGGCGTTTGTCACGTACCGGTCCAGCAAGTACTTGAGGTACTCTGAGCAGTCCTGCTGAGCTCCAGGGGTGAACCAGGGGGGCCAGGAGGCAGASAGGAAGCTCTCAGGGGAGATGGCAGGTCGCTGGCAGCAACACAAAACAAGTGCATTTAATCCTAGGGAWTTTTCCTCCATTCACACAGGGGGATGGAGAGGGGAGAGGAGTTGTTTTTTTGGCTGCTTCACTGGCAGCACAGTGTTCTGTGCCTGATAAAGACCCTTTTTGTCCCCACAAAGGCTAATCCCAATGCACAGGAAGCATTCTGGTTTGCTGCAAGCCAGGATGGTAAGGATGAATTTCAGTGATTATTTTACATACGCTGCTATAAAATATCCATGTTTTTATCATTCAAATTTTAAATGGTTTATTGGCCTGATCCAGATAATTCTACTTAATTCAGCCTCAATTTAATTTGCTGCTCCATTTAATTTGATCAGGATCTCTTCTCACTAAATCCTTTCATTAAAAAAAAAAAAAAAAAAGAAAATCAAACCACAAGGCAAAAAAATCCACTAAACTTCCACCCAACATTCTGATCACTGCAGGCAGGTAATCTGTGTCACCAGATAAAATAATTGCTGTCATTAGGAAGCAGATATCTAATTTATATGGAAAAATACTCATATTCAGCAAAAAAAAAAGTAACTTCAGCCCAAAAAAGAAAAATAACCAAAAGGAAACTAGCAGGAATCTATTAACTGTCAACTACACAACAAGCAAACACATTTCTATACTTGCTCATCACAGAACACAGACACCCTAATCTGCCATCAAAACCTAGACTCTTCTATGACCAAATGTTAAATTTAACAGGGTGTCTAGATTTCCTTCCCAGGTCATCTCTAGTGACATAATACCACAATGCTACAAGCCAGCTCTGMCAGTCAAGGCTTGGGAAATGGAGAAGCCTGGATGACTTGCTATGCAGCAAGGGAAAATTCACTGGCTTTCCAAAATTTTGTCTTTCTAGGAACAGAAAGAAATATTTTCAAGAGAGGAATTAGATATGACTTAGCTGTATCTCCAGGAGTCACTCCATTAAATTTCAGAAATATTTACTATTATTTTAAGGGTGTTATTTTTATTTTACTTTCCCTCACATACAGAGGATTCAAAGCACCTGGCATCTAAGGAGGTTTTTATTATTATTTTTTTAACAAAACCACTTTTAAGGGAATTTTAGCAATGATTGCTAGTGCTTTGCTGTGGAGCAATGGACAAGTGAGCTRCTCCAGTCTTTTCTTTTGCTGCACAGCAAGAGACGAAACCTCTGTTTCACACCAACAGGCTTCTCAGCTGAGCACAGATGTAAACTATTACCTAATGGACTTCATTGTCAAAGCCATTMGTTATTACATCAGCCCAAACCAAAAGACCACAAGTTAAAGACAGGCAGCCTGGTGTGAACATAGCTCACTTTCATGGGTGAGAGGAGTTTCCCTTCTCCTCTCCCAAAATTAGCCTCCTTCACACAAACAAAACCAGTCCCATTACAAAAACCCACCAAGATCCACAGCTCCTTATCAGCACGTTGGAGCCGGCAGGAAGCAACTTGGAGACGAGCCTTTCCGCAGCCGACAGTCCAAACAAATAACTAGAACATGAAATAATTACCTGACTGTGCTCCAAAAATGCAAAGAGCCACTGGAGCTTTGTCATCAGGGGCTGGGAGTTGCCCTCAGTCAAATTCAACACCGAATGCCGAAAGCTGTGRAAGAAAAGCAGAGATGCAATCTGTGGGATGGAAAATCAGGGAGGGACACACAAGACTGGAGTGACAAGCAACCCCTGGAGCCCTCCTGAAGGGAGCAAGGGAGGAAAAACTCACTCTGAAGCCATGAAAAGAGACTGTATGATGCTGTTCATGTAGCAGGTGTTTCCCAAGTTAATTAACCCAATCTTTCCCGTCTCTGATTTAGATGCCAGGCGTGGGTAGAAGCAGGCCAGCTCGTTCTTCTGGGATGTCCAAGCATTTTGTCCCAAGAGGTGTTTAATCCGGTCTTCATTTGGAATCGGGAGAGCCTTGGAAAGAGATCTGTGTTACAAATCATGATCTGTCCTCACAAGGGGATACTGAGGGGCAGGCACTGATCTCTTCTCTGTGGTGACCAGTGACAGGGCACAAGAAAACAGCATGAAGCTGTTTCAGAGGAGGTTTAAATTGGATATTAGGAAAAGTGTCCCACACGGGGTGGCTGGACAATGGAACAGGTTTCCCAGGGAAGTGGCCATGGCACCAAGCCAAGGAGCATTTAGACAATGTTCTCAGGCACATGGTGTGATTTTGGGGTTGTCCTGGGTAGGGTCAGGAGCTGGATCCCTTCCAACTCAGGATATTCTATGATCCTATGACTGATCTTTTCCCATGAAGAATTAATAACAAGCAACTGCAAAACTCTTCTGCTAGAGGTGTTCACACAACTCATTTTGCCTGCTCTTCACATGAACCTGCCTCCATGCAAGGAAGAGTTTACCTGTTTCTGTCAGTCCTTTAGAAGCTTTTGAGAACAAAGTTATAGCTAAAGCCTACAGGCACCATCAGGACATCKGCAGGCCCACCATTAGAGACATATCTTCCCTCAACCTGCCTGCACRGGGCTCAGACTGAACTGCAATCCCCTTTCTTCTACCACCATTTGAGGTGTTGAGGTTAGGAGATCCCTATTCGTTGAACAGTCTTGCTGTTCTAGGCTACCAACAATAATGCCATTCCATAGAAAGAAGTAAAATCACATAGAAAGCAGTAAAAWTACTGAGAAGGGCACTAATTACTTTAACTGCTTCTAGGACAGGCTCATAGAGGTCTGGGAATCCTGAGAAGCGGAAGAACATGCAGTGGATGAGTTCAGCCAGCTGCTCCAGACAGCTGGTTGCAGAATTGGAATCCTCCTTCTTCAAAGAGGCCACCAACCTGGGGATGTGAGGGAGTAGCTGGAAAAGAAAAAACAAATTATTTGCAGAGTTTTAATACATTTGGAGGAATGAAATCCACCTGTGGGCAGGAAMGGAGGTGAACAGGAGTTGACTTCARTGCCATTCCAGACTTCATCCCTCACCCTATGAACTCAACAGCAACTCTGCTGCTGATTTTGGCAACCTTACAGGGTTTCATGTTGCATGGCACCTGCAGGTTTGTGCTGCTGCTTTGCTGAGCTGCAATTGCCATTCTTTAGTCTCCCCTAAATCTCACACCCATGGTGGAAAGAATGTGCTGACTCCCAAGTGCACACGTGAGGGTAGATAGGATTAGCCTAAGAGAAATGTTGTCTGCTGCTGTCCATGCTGTTTTGCTGAACACRCTGAACTGGAATTGGTACAGTAGGATGGGTGGAAAATAAAACAGCATGTTCTTTATTTTGCTTTCATCTCAAAAATGTAAAAATGAAACAAGCAGATGCAAATGCACACAATCCATTGCTCACGGGCACCCTCTGCTGACCCTGCAGCTGCACAGAGAATTAATAACCTACTTCCAACCCCACAGATGTGCTAAGAGTGACCAAGGCATTTGGAAAACCTTTTTCATATTTTTATTTTATTTTTAGCCCAGAATAATCCTGGAGTAAAGTWTCAAGACCCCAGTCCAGCCATTTCCTGGTCCTCTCTTCCTCCCTTGATCTCCCCTCTCCTCTTTTTCTTCCCCTTCAAAATGTTGRAGATTTTAACTATTTCCTTTCCGACAGGAAAGGTTTGTTGGGAAAGCAAATCAATAGCAGCACCTTTTTATACATCAGAATTTTGCCAAGCTGTGATGGGAACAATTCTCAAACCCCTTCCAAAGTACCAGGGCAGACACAGAAAGACATGGTTTTGCCCTGTTGGTTTTTGGGGGCTTTTTTTAAATAAAGAAGGAAATTTATGCTTGTGGGCTACAGATGGAAATTTCAAGTCAAGAGCAACTGACATCTTGGAGTGTTTCAAAATTTGATTTCCAACTGAAGACATTACATTGAAATGACTATTTTTAGAAACCAGAGTTTCTCAAGAAATTCAGGTTCGTTAAAGGTATCTCCAGGTGAGGAATGAAAAAGAAAGCATCAGTTGAAAATACTGGCTAGCTTTGCTTTTCTCCAGCCTTATCTGTTTGTTCCATGAACTTTAGGTGAAAAGCTAAATATAAGGATTTTAATGATAAAGCATAAAATCTGACATTAAYAGGAATAATTTTCTATCACTGCTTTTATCAGTTCAATCACTACAAGCATGCTTTTGCCTTTGGCCTCACTTTTTAAATTCAGCATTCCATAGGCAACGCCAGTGGGAAGCGGAGCCTTGCCTTAGTGCCAACAGCAAAACAAGCTATAAAATATCACTGTGGAAATGAAAAGTGGGCATTCAAATGCTGCCAAGAGATGTTTCTACTTTTAACAGAGAATTTGTGCAGTGAGCTGTTCTGATCCATTCTTTTGGTCTTGCTGCACTGAAGCTTTACAAAGCTTTCAAAGCTGACCCRCCACTTAAAGAAATGGGTGACACACGTTGGTGGCACTTTAAAGTCACATGTGGCATGGGACCCACTGAGTTGAACAGACAGTCAGCACGTGCTTAGGGAAAGCAAGGGCTTTTTAAYAATGTATTCCCTGCCCTCCAAGATGTTCTCAACACGAAGTATCCAAGCACTGCAAAGCCAGAGCGGCAGCATCTGCTACACCTCAGGTCCCCTCCTACTCCTGCTGCCCCACAGCAGAGTTACACTCAGGACAATGCCCTCATCCCAGTGCCAGGCACAGCCTTACCAAGTGAAATGCCTCGTGGGAGTGCTGGAAGCTCAGCAGCATGTACTGCAGGACAGACAAAGCCCCCTCCCTCACAATGGGATACAGCAACTTGGAGAAGACCTGGTGGAAGAGGGAGAAAAATAAAATGAGAAGGCAGGAGGGCACTGCAGGAGAAGGGAAGAGAAGGAAACAGAGGCACTGGGCATCTACCATGGCTGCTGGTCTCTTCCTAATCCATGCTGCATGTTGAGGCAAGCAGCCTGTAATCATGTCTCCAGTGTCATCTACTGTGCAGAGAACTGGCTCAGGGCACCCTAAAAATACTGTGAGAGTTATACTCACCCTTTCAGGCTTGTGTGACGCCTCTATGAGAGAGCTGCATCTCCAAATCTCCTCAAGAAAAAGGCCATGCAAGCACAGCAGAATGCTAGATTTTCTAAAATGTGCCTCTTCTATTTAATTCCAATATTTGGAAGTTTATCACTAACCTTTCAGACAAAGAGATAAAAGGCAAATACCTTTTTCCAAAGCTAAGTAACAATGTTTATTCTGCTTTACAAAAAATACCTGTGTATCCTCTACTCCTCTCAGATAGTACTTCTGAGGGTTTGCAAAAATCACATGTTATTTTTAAGGGCTGTGTCCCTTTCCCATGCATTAACAATGAAAGAAAAGATAAAGAAAAGCCAGAGATGCTTGGCTACTGTCCCACTGCTCAATGCACTTGAGAGATCAAAAGACAAATGCAGTTATTGATAATGTTCCAATACCGATAATTATAGAATGAAAGTATCATTTAGGTTGGAAAATACCTCTAAAATCATTGAGCCCAACTCTTAACTCAGCACTGCCAAGCCCACCACTAAACCATGCCCCTAAGAACCTCATYTTAGTAACCTCCATGGTGACTTCTTCAGGCAGCTTAGACAGATGTTATTCCCATTATTCAAAGCAGGACCATAGCATGCAAAAAGTTTTTGAAATAGTGACTAGTTTCAGTGCTCTATCACAGTTTTCAGAGAGAGCAAGTACCCACTGCTGAAACAAGTAATGGCAATGGCAGCAYGGGCTTTAACTGCACCAATAAAAGAACTCAGCCAGGCCACAGATTTTAAAACTAACCTGTGACTGTGTAGACTGCTAAGATGCTCACTATTGTGTATTTTGTCTGTGCCAGCCAGCAATGACCCAGGCAAGACCAAAGGAGAACATGTCACATTCCCAAAGGCAAGTTTTACAAGAGTTTGGGAAGGATAATGTTGATTTTGCTTAAAAGTCCTTGGCTACTTTATTTCATAACCTTTAAGGTATCAGCACCTCTGCAGACCACAACGTGAAGAACMCCAGGTTTTTCTGGAGAACATCATTCCCAGATGCAAAACCAGTATGCCTTGGAACTCTTTTTTGTCTATACCTCTCAAATCACATCTCACCCGCACTCATTTGAAAGGCAAGATGATATTTCAGGTGCAAGATGGTATTTCTGTGCTTCACATTCACATTTGAAAGAGCCAACTGACCTTTTCTATTTTCGAAAGAGTGACTTCAATCAAGATGCTGAACTTTTTCACTGCAGCCAAACCCTTCAGCAGAGCAATGATCCACTTGTCTATGTTCTTTCCCAGGGGCCAGGACACCCAGTCAATCATCCTGAAATGAAATACAAACTCTTCAATAAATTTAATGCACATGCTGTAAAAGACAAGCTCCACTCTGGGTCAAATCCCTTCCAAATTGGTGTTCAGTCACTGGGATGAGACAGACTCTTCRTAAGACATTTGACATGTTATTCAAAGCACACCAGAGCCTGAGGTAGAAATACCCCAATGTCATCACACTGTGGTTCATCAGAGATCAGACCCAATTCCACAGAATAAAGTGGGGATCTTTTCCATTAACTTCAGYCAAGCTGAGTTCAAGTTTTTAAAGCTGGTGCAGTGCTCTCTATGCCACTCACATGAGGGTTTGATTGAGGTCTCTGCATTGTCACCACTGGAAAACAAATTTTTCTGGCTTGATCTATGCTTTGTTACGGGTAAGGAAAAAACACTCAATTTTGTACCTTTTAGTTCTCTTGTGTGGGAAACACTGATTTCCAAAAACATATTTAAAAAACTCAACCTGGAAGCCCTAATAGAATCCAGTTATTCCTGAATGTCACAGGTTAAAAATTTCATCTCTAGCCACTCAACCAACATATTGTCAAGTTTCTGCAAGAAATAAGTGCTTTACAGAAGTCAATACCCTCAGACCAAGTGATGACACATTGTTTCTCTTTAAATTTATTGTTAAACAACCAGGAAGTGATTAAGACTTGGGATCTCCAAGTGTCGAACTTTGCTGACCATTTCAGTAATTTTGATTTGAAGATATCCCAGACCTTCAGGCTACACCTCAGTCCAGCCAACTTACCCAGTTAGCTCCTTTTGCTTATCAATCTGAATCTCATGCAAAATATATGAAGGGAAGACAGATAACTAACCACCACAAGCCAAAGAGCAGTAATTAGTGAAGTTGACACAGAACTGGAAAAATTAAAATCTAGCCAGTAAAAAAACCCTTGAAAAGCAGAATATATATTGAGTTATAACAAAAGTCAAGCCAAGCTGGATAATAAAGCAAATGCCAGAGAAGCTTCCACAGACATTTGCACTGGAGGAGAACAAGGAAAGCTGYGCAAGCAGTGTATGTGGTGAATCTGATAGAGATTAAAGATATKATATGGCCTCCAGGTGTGACTTCCAAACATGCAGTGACTCCATTTTCAGCAAGAGGAAGGAATTTATTGGGGTGAGGAGATAAAAGATCTCAAAACAGACACAGAGCAACAACAGCTGATAAAAAAGTGAAACATGAAGAGCTCATGAGCACCAAACATGGTGATCTCCATCATGCAAAATTCAGCTCTGGTGAGTTTTAATGACTAACTTTTCCATGGTGCTGTAKGTGAGAAGATGGTTCCTACAATGGAAACAGGCAATGAGTGGSAAGCAGGGATAGAGTGCCACCGAGGGTCATCATAGGTGCCAAAGTCAGGTTTGTCAGGACATCCGAATTTCTAGTCACAGGACACAAGTAAATCAAACCTGACTGACTCTCTGAAAAGAGACTACAAGCAWCATTCTTCAGGATCTAGTGTTGTTAGCAAAAATATCCTGAACAGGGCTGAGAAATTTGTGAAGATGCACAGCTGACAGGCATCATCAACACAAGAGGAGGATCAGGGAGTCACAAGGAAGACCCTGAGGATTAAAAATGTAGAACTGGAAGGAAATGTATTGATTCAAAATGCACAGAAGGCACTGGAAACAGAGGTTACAGTAACTCATCTGCTTGAAGACAAGCAAGCAGAAACCAGATGACCAAAAATTCCCAGTGAAAGAGCAGCCGTGGAAAAGACTGGCACCATGCTGTGGGGTAGGACAGGTGCTCTCTGWAGCAAAACAGTGACACTTTAGGCTGTGGTCAGGCTGCCATGACAAACATGGTGCACAAACAACACYATCTGTGCCCAAGACCAGTGAACTCTGTTGCAGAAGGTTAAGGTGGTGAGGGAAATGAAGAACACTTCCTGCAAGAAAAGCTTAAAATAACCTGGCCTGTTTAGCACAGCCATGAGAAAGCAGAGATGGGAAGGGACTGCTCTTCCTGCACATATTGAAGGAATAAACACCAGGGAGGCAAAAGATATTTCAGCTATTTCTGCTGGCATAAGATCAAATGAACTGTAAGATGGCCAGAAATACACACAGGCTGGCTGTTAGAAGAGATTCAACCCACTAAAGCAACCCAGTGGTGGAAGTGCTGTGAAGGTAGAGCAGTGGGAGCACTGTCCTGCTTTGAGGAGCAGACTTTGACATTCATGAAAGGGATGTGTAATGTCAAGGCTATAAAGCAGGGAGATGGATCCAGAGATTCAAAGGTCCCTATCTTCTTTAAAAAGGCATAAGATAAYCTTATTTGCTTGAAGCTATATTTTACCAGCACTGGTGGCTAAGTTACAGTGCTGCCTGTGTTGCTACAGTAGGAAGAAATTACATTTTAAATTCACATTGCACTTTCCACATTGTAAGATCCACAAATATTTTAGTTGTGGTGATCCTAATTTGACAAAGGAGTYATTGATTTCATGTGCTAAACTTTTAAAAGCCCAGACCCTGATTTCCAGAGGTAGCAAGTGCCCACATAGCTGTATGACAGCAGATGCCTTCTGCATGTGGATCTGCGCTCTTTGAAATGGACAAATCCCCAGAAAAAAAAAAAATTAAAAAAAAAAATCTATGAGTACCTCTGTCATGGTTTTACTTGGTCCGATTTTTGGTGGTGGGGGAATGGGACCAAGAAACCACAAAGATGGCTCCTGTGAGGAAGTTCTAGAAGCTTTCTCCTTCTTCTCCAGCAAAAGGAGCCCTAACCCCTGTGTTTCAGAGCCAATCCATTGTGGCTCTGAGGCTGATGGACGGGTTGCTGGTCAGGCCTGGGCCAATTGCGCATGCTAGTTACACCTCTGTGATGATGAATGGTCTTGTACGTAAGAAGAATTCAAAACAAGATAGGGGCGGCCGCCATGTSGTTTTTAGRYWGTTAGTATTATGCACTGGGGAGAGACAGAGCAGGAGGGTGAGGAGATGTAAGAAAAAATGGAGACCCAAGATCACAGTGAGGAGAAGATGGGATGGGTTGCTGTGCTGTTGCTGTGGTTCTCGAGCATGGAGAAAACAAGCTGTTCTCGAAAGGACTATTTCATCAATGAGAGACCTGTATAGAAATGAGAGTGCCCTTGCTCTGAGGAAAACAAAACCTGGCCTTTGAGGACTGCACTGAACTGATCAGGAGCCAAAAAAGAGGAAGAGGCTTGGCCCCCCCACGACAATTGAAGCGAGTTGATGCTAAGAAGAAAATGTGTTCTGCAGGAAGGAGGAGATGCCCCCGCTCTGTGTCTGAAGTAAGTGGATGCTTAGCAGAAGTTGTGTTCTGCCAGGAGATTTGTGATAGTGGTCTCATGCTGCTGAAACAACGCAGTTTGGCCTTGGAGAACATTCTTTGCTTTCTCCTACGAGGTAAAGAAAAGAATCCCATGCCATCAGCAGTTGCACACTGACTGTTTCCTGGGAAAAGAACTTCCACAGCTTGGAGCTGTAAAAATGCTTCTCCTATGATGCTGAATGACAACCATAATGAGTAGCTTGATCTGTGTTAGACTTTCATTCCTGTCCCCTGTGTGTGTGGGAAGACATGTGGGGTGGAGAGAGACAACCTGAGACAGAGACGGGTCCCCAGAAAGGATAACAGATGTCTTAAAATGTCCGTTTTTATTTTTCTTCTCCTTGTAAATTTTTCCCTATCATTGTTCTCCTCCCCGGTGCAGTAGTATTCTTAGTAGTTTTTAGTAATAAACCTATTTTGCAACTTAAGTTATTCAGCCTGTCTGACCATTCTCTGGAGCATATACGTATCTTTCTCTCAATTATGTTACGTTATCTGAAAGCCATAAATTTTAGTGTTAATTGGGCTTTTGCTCTCCCTTCTCCCTCTCTGGTGGGAAGGGAGAGAACATCGTGGGTGCTTTTGGCTTTCGGCACAGTCCAAACCACGACATTTTTGGTGCCATGACTCTGATAGGGAAAAATCAGGTTTTAAAACCACAACAACCTCTGATGCCACAGATGCACRACAATAGAGTTTACTTAAAAACAGATAAACTGTGTAAAGGAGATTGTGGTGTACACTTATGCCAGCAGGTGCCAGCCTTGCTTTTTGTTACCACTTTTTGTTCTTTACATGCTTGGCCAGAAGCTCCACCCTAARTCCAGTTTATTCTCTTACTACTCCCAAACCCAAACTTGGGGGAGAAGACACCTCTGCATGCAACCAGTTTGTCAGGGATCCTAAACTGAAAGATTCTTCAATTTGTACATTTTCCTTTGATTTTCTACGCATGAAACACACACATCAAACAGCCTGTGGTCATGCTGTTTTTGGGGCACCCATCTGCCATAAAYATGCTGCCAAAACTTCAACATTTCTCCTAAGTGATCTTAATTATATTTTGCAGGCTMTGACTAATTATTTAGTTGTCCTTCTGCATGACAAAGAATGTTTTAAGGACTGATGCAATTGATTTGGCAACCTCTGTGAAAAAGATGGAGAAGATCATTGAAGATACCCCTAGGTAAATGCAGAGCAAGACACCAGAGTATGGAAGAGCTGTAGGACTTGGATATAAGAGTGCAAAGAAGATCTGTCGATGCTAACGAGGGCACTGGTGCTTCAGAGACCAAGTCTGGTGTGTCAAGTAGTGTTTCAACCACTACACTTCATCATGCTTTGACAAGGTCTCCACTGGCTCTTTCTGTCCAGCTGCAGCACACCCATYTGACAAAGGCCAAGGTGGGACCCAGAAACATTTGGACATAAGTCTTTAGCTGTGACTGGGGGCTTAAGATGGTGTCCTTATGAAGGGAGACATAAATCATCACAAAATCCTGAAAAGGAGATTTTGGGAAGAAAAAGCCCTCAACAACTTTGGGGTGGGATGGAAACATCTCTTCAAGATAGCCCATGCTGGACATCCCGTAATACTGTTTATTTCTAAAAAAAAGAAACTCAATTAATTAAACCAAACAAATATAATAATAGTCATAATCAATCATAACAACAACCACTCTGTATTCTAGTTTTCTAGGACTTCAAAGCTATAAGAAATTATACAGGGTTTTTTTTTTCCTTACACATTCCTCACCAGGCAGCATCAGCCAAGCCTCTTGGGATTAAAACCACACAAAGCATTTCTCCCAACTGAGTTACGACTTTCACAAATGCAGCCTCTCCTACCTGCCAATGGCCATCATCATTTGCACATCAGTGATGCTGTCATCGTTGGTTAGGTTTCTTATGACACCATCCATGAGCTCCAAAGGGACAAACTGAACCACACTGGCCAAGGCATTGGATGGTGCTTCCTGCTCTTCTGCAAGACATGGAAGAGCCCCAGCAATGAAGATGTTAGTCAAAAAGAAAACCAGGCACCCAAGGTCATTTCTTGTCCTAAAAACCAAATCATTTCTGCCCACATAAATAGCATCACAGAATTGTTCAGGTTGGRAAAGCCTTCTAAGATCATCAAGCCCAGCTATTAATGCAGCACTGCCAAGTCCACCACTAAACCATRCCCCCAGGTGCCACATCTAGATGTCATGGAGTGGATACAGAGCTGGTGCCAATGAGCAATATAGAGTCTGCAGTTGACTGTGCTAAGAGGATAATTGCCCAAATCCCAGTGCAGCACATAACAAAGTTGGATCTCAGCAGATGGCTGGTGCCTGAAGCCCTGTGTAGCCCCAAGGGAGGAAGACATCACAGGCATGAGAACGTGTTTGGGCCAACTCAGGCACCAAATTTCCTCTGCTTACTCTCTTTGTACTAAGTACTGCAATTAATTACAAAGGGATGTAACTGCAAGTGTGCCTGCATGGAGACAGGCCTCTTTCCAAAGGATGAGGCTGTCATATAGACACCAGTGAAAAACCCACCTGCTGTGGGCTTAGGAATAGCTAGAGCAGGAGCTCACCAGGCCTTCATGGCACTGGTACCTCCAAGAAACCTTCTGAAACCCTCCACAATAACCTAAAGGCCCCAGAAGCTGAATAAATTATCTTCTATCTCACTTTAAGATGCAACCACCTTTCAGACAGTCAGTGGGGCTTCATGCTTCCAGATCAGTGAGAAATAACTGCTTGGCTTTACCCCTGGTGTCTGGTAGGAAGCAGGCTGTGGGATAGCACCAAGTCAGCTGTAAGAGAGGGACATTTCTAAAAGCTCTCAAGTTCCACTCTAACAAGCTGYATATAAGGTGCTTTCCCTTAAGCCCAGGTGATGATAGAAAGTGCTGAACACAAACTTGTGTTGCAAATGTTTCAATCCYGTTAACAGCTCCTGTGTGCAGACTCTCTGTGGTTATAGGGGGATATTGCTTTCCCAACTCAGAGCACTGGGTAACTTTTAGAGATGTTTGTCTAYTATATTTCATCTGTGGCTGCATTTYTGTMGTGGATGAAAACCCTGCAAGATGTCAAACYAATTGAGTTTGACTTCATCAGAGCTAACATTTACATTCCCAGCCATTTTTCATTATTATTTTTTAATTACCTGTTGAAGAAATGATAGTGAACACTTCCTTCAAAGAGGGCAGGATGGCTGAGGTCTGAGTCCTCCAGATCCTCTGCAGCAGACCACTCACTTTGTTCACCTGCTCCAAAAACTCCATGATCTCCTCTTCCCCCTCSGAGACGCACTGGAACTGCCCGATGCACCGGATCAGCTGCTGGCAGAACAAGAGCTGGTGCTTTCCCGTGGGAATGCACTGAGGATGYTGGCTCAGGAGCTTGCTGATCTTTGCACACTGCTTGGGGCTGGGCCTCTCGCAGACTTTCCGCAGCACCTCGATCCTCAAYAAGCTGAAGATGCTGTTTGCTGATGGACTTTCCAGGACAAACTGTAGTCCTAACTGGATATAATCAAGTACATAATGGCTTCTCTTCCCCAKAGGTCCGTAGCCTTCCTGGAGGAGGCTCAGCAGGAAGCGGACATTGAAGAATTCCTCAAATTCCTCTGGGTGGTAGTGGCCGTAGACCTCCAAAACCTCCTTCCCAATYTCTCTTTTATACTTGGTGTCGCCGGTGAGATAAAGCTTGGTGGACAGCTCCAGCATGGACCAGCACTGCTCGCTGTCCATGGGCTGCTTGGCCGCCTCGATGACRCGCCTCACAAGCCCTTGCTTCACGTTGTTGGGGTAAGAGGACATCACCACAGCTTCCAGTATCTTATCCATCTCTGCTCCCTGCTCCTAAAAGAGAGTGACMGAGCAGCAGGTTAGTTCAAGGAGGGTCTGCTGAGCTTTCAAGCCCAGGCTGGGGAAAGGGAGATCAAAAAAGCAGAACTGTCTGGGACCACTCTGAAGAAAATAGTTCTTGCGGCCTTTTCATGTAGCATTCAGAAAAGTTTCCACTCTAGTGATGTTTGACTGAGACTAAAGCCTCCAAACTGAATGAATACACCAAGATACAGAACTTCTTCAGATKAAACACACACTTGAGCATTTTAGTCCTGCAAACAACCAGCTACAGACCCACAGAGAGGACAAGTGGGGAATTAAGGAAGCCAAGGTCTTAACTGGTGTCTGCTGGCTCAGGTGTCCTCAAGAGGCAAAGATGGTCCCAATGATTGTCTTCACATCCAGGGAAGGAGAGAAAACCCCTGGGAAGCAGAGGTGGGATTGCAGCCTCTCTGTGCAATGGCAGGGGTGTTTGTTAAACATTTACACCGTGCTGCCAGCCACTCCATCTGAGTGGTGCAGTCTTGGCTGCTCCCCAGGGACCTGCCGCATTTGTATGCAGGACCAAAGCGAGCGCAGAGAGAAACTGCAGAGTCAGGCAAAGTTTCCCATTTGTCACAGCCTGAATTCACCAGCAATAAAGTGTTAGAGAAAAGGTTTTCTTTAAAAAAAAAAACAAACAAACTACGAATTCCCAAGGAAAAGCTCAGAATAACATTTATAATCAGGTGTTAGATGCACTATTGCATAAAGAAAACCCAAAAACTAAAACCCAAACCATTATAGAGCAATAAAATTAGACAGGATTTCTTAAAATGCATTACAGGGACATCCACAGCAGGTGCCTCCAGTGCAATACACTGCACAAATACACATTTGGAGAAGGTCTCTTCCTGCCTATAGCCTGAAATGAGCCACACTCATCTATCTGACCAGAATAAAAATCGCCACCTTTCTGTTCCTCAGCTCCCTGATCTGTGAAATGAGAACAACACACACCAATTCYTAGCAGGGATGGTTGAAAGATCCTTCCTTAGCACTTACGAAGCATTTGAAGTTTTGTTCAAATGCACAGGGTTATATTAATGAAGAATATACATGCAGGTGACAGGTACCCCAAGTATGGTTTTCACAGATGACATCCAGAAGAGACCTCAGCAGAAGCCCTCCAAGGACCACACCATCCCTGGAGTAAGCCTGTATCTGGGCCAGACAGTATCTTTTCTCCTAGCAGACAGCTGCTTGAGGGTAGAGAAGTAAAACCCATGCCAGGCACAAACATCAAGTTCTGACTCACAGCTGCTTGCCTGGGAAGCCTTCCCACGTCACCAAACATTGCCTCTTCCCATCATTTCTTCCCCACAATCTCACAGGATGAAAAAGAAAAAWAACCATTATTAATAAATATGTATATACATATAGCCAACCCCAATCCAGCAATGACCACAAGCTATATTGCAATGCCTCTCCAGCTACCACCATGCCCTTTCTGGCCCTGCCTGCTGACTCACATTCCTCTGCTCATATGCTGGATTGTTCCYCATCAAGCATTACTGCTGCCTTCCCTGCAACAAGCAAAGGCAGAGCTAATGGCAGAGCTAATGCTCTCCATCATGCTGTTTTCCCAGGACAGAAKATATAAGCTGGACTCCTGAGGGACCATCCTGCATTAAACCAATGGCAAATGAGGACAAGATAAGAAGACAAAATCCCACAGGTCTTTTCACTTCAAACAGAAAGTACCACAGTGTCAGCAAAGGCTAAAAGTCAACCTGGAGAGCAGGTGGAGCTTGCAGGTAGTCCAAAACCAGAAGGAGTATTTGTCCTTGCTGCAGCCCAGGGGTCACCTTGGCCATACAGAAACTGGCACACACCTGTAGTCAGGCTGGTACTCCCTTCRCCTCCACTCTGCAGCTTCGCAGCCTGAGCTCAGACACCCTGGACACCTGGCAGATAGATAAGGGACCAGGGGGATCTACAGTGCTCACTGGTTATGTCTCACTGTACTTCCCTGAATCAACCCATGCTAAGCTTGGCATAACAATTTGGAAACAGCACACAGGCAGGATGGTTGAGAAATGGCTATGGCTCTTTTAGACCTAACCCCATAAATCACCACACTCCCCTGGTATATGTGGTGAGTGTTCTTGCTGTCCCACTCAGGGCGATGGCTGCCCACCACTGTCCCCAGTATGACTCTGCTTTTAGCTACTTTAGCATTGCCAAACTTCACTCAAATTTTCAATGCAAMGAGTCTAATTTCATCTGAATTTTGAGATAAACTTGCGGCTCCTGAAAGGGCATAGTTTTACAGGGCTTTAGGTAATACAATCTCACTTGCACCTCTCCARCCACCCCGGTGTCAGCAGTAGGGGACAAACAAGCCCACGGTTCTGCTGTGTATCAGGGTTGACCAAACTCGTCCCTGGGTGTGGGCCAGACAAGGCCAGGATGGAGGACACTAGCCAGGGCATGTATTACAATCTCAGAACTASATTCAAGCAACATTCAAGTGGCTTTGTAATATGCAATAATAAACACGATGGTCTTAAATGCCATTAAAAAAGCATTTCACACTAAAAGATCGTTCACATGTCAAAGGCTAGGAATCAAGATGGCTAATTCAAGACAAGCACAGCTCCAGATGCTTTCAGCACGATATTAGTTTAAGTATCTAACATTAACTTTTTTTTTCCCCTAGGACCTCCCTGGAGGGTGAATCAGGGTTTGCAGTAGAGGAGCAAAGTGAGTGTTGTCTGTAAGATCAATGTCTCATTTGTTGTAGAAATTGGAAGTGTGTCATAAATAACCCAGACAACTGTGGGAGAGGGAAGAACAGTTCATTGTCAGGCAGCCGAATGCTGCCTTGGAGACCTGATCCCTGGTTCTCTTCTGTTTAATACTGAAATAAAGAGACTAAATATTCAGACAATCAGGCTTCTATAATGARTGTTCCTGAAGTAGAACAACCTTTCTGCACTTCTTCCTCACCAGCATTAACAACACACTGAAGAGCTGGGAGGATTGGCTCATTCCTGCTTATGAACAGAAACAAGTTCCTGGAGCACACAAGGATGAAGCAGAATGTCAAACAGTTAATTATTAAACTGAAGAGTCACACTGAGGTTYCCATCTGCTTTGTAGCTCACATAAAACAGAGTACTGTTCCCAGCTTTGCAGGGAAAATGAAAAAATCCCATGAAATAACAAAACTGTTCTGCCACCCCAGGGAATGACTGTCAGGAACAACACAGGCAAAATCAGAGAATGAGGAGAAAAAGGCTCTTGGGAGGTCTCTAGGACAAATCCTGCATAGAGCTGAACTCAACCGCAGCTGTGCAGAACTTTATCCATTAAGGTCTAGAAAATATACCAGGATTGAAATCATACAACCCTGGGCAACCTGCTCCTGTTTTAATTAGCTCATAGTGGGAAGTTTTTCCCTRTGTCCAGTTAGAAGATCTTGTTTCAATTTATGTCTGGTTTTTCTCATTCTCCTGCCTTGTACTCCTGTAAAAAGCCTGGATTCATCTCCTGAATAACCTCCTTGGAGGGACTGATCAGCTGCTGTCAGTCAGTCGCCAGGCTTCAACAGTTCAAGGGGTTAGTCCATCCCAGTTGAGTCCATCCSAAGTGTCCATCCCAAAATACTTTGCATCTATCCTTGTTGAATTCCATGAGATTCATGTCAGCCACAACAAGTCCTGGCCCTCCTATATGGCAGCCCTGCCCCCAAGCATATTGACTATTCCTCAAGTCAGGCATCACTCACAAATTTGATGACATGAATTTCATCTCCTCCTCCAGATTGTTAATAAAAAATATTGAAAAGGAAAGATCCCAGGATAGTTCCAGCCTGGTTCCTACCCAATTAGCAGYCCACACATCTGTCTTTGATACAAGGATGGTGACCACAAGATGGGTCCCTGCAAGGACAGACACCCAACCATGCTCTAGAGCCAGAGAGGAAAATGGAATTTAAGCAAAGATCAGCATTGGCCAGTTTAGTGTCACTCTCCAAACTGAGTAAACTGAAAAAATAAAAAAATAAAAAAACAAACAACAAAAAAACAACCCAAAACGCAACCTCAGGGTGAAAAATCACCTTTGGCTTTTTTTCGGTCTAGTCTTAAGACTCTGTACTGTCCAGATGGTACTTAGAGTTCTCTTCTACCTATTCATTTTATTTAATTAGGATTCATTTCAATTGAAATCTTCTCAATTACTTCTGAATCAATTCATCCCTTTAACCCTGCCAGCAGCAGATTTCCAGTAAAGGCTCCTTAGTACTTTGTACAGAATGTAGTACCAGTTRCCACATCCCAGAGTTTAACAAAGCTCTGAAAACATAGATGGAGAACATACCTTACCTTTAGGAAATCTTAGTAACAAATTCAGCACATTTCCCACAACGACATCATAAAGACTTTGATAAATACCACTAAAGAAGGAAAAATAATTGCCACCATCTAAACAGAGTAATACATAAAGTGATTTGCCTTTTATTTACAAAGAAGAAAAATACCAACTTCCCTGAACTCTCTGGAGGTCTGGAAGTACAAAAATGAGACTCACCTTTATTGTCCTTAACTCCTACYGAAATGATTTCTTTTATGTCAGCCAAGACATTACTGCTATTCCTGCTGCATCCTCCAGGCAGCAGGCAATTAGGGCTCAATCCTGCAGGATGCTGACCTGCTGCAGGATAAAAGGGAGCTCACATWGTGTTTTGCTAGAGCACAAAAAGTACTGTTTTCTCTAAAATTTCTACAAAATTTGCCATGACTTGGTATACTTCTTACACGGACCAGCCCTGCTGCCACCTCTCTAGGTCTGTTCTCCAGAAATATCAAAGTAATTGTGTCCTAAATTACTTTTTTTTGCCTGGAATAAATGTCCAATTACTTCATAGGCAAAGAGGATTTTTTTTTTTGTTCAAAGTACATCTCTGTTCATTCAGCTAAAAACGGGAAACCACAGCCTGCACATCATTACATTACCACATCTAATAGATACTCATGTTTTGCAGAAATACAAAAACTGAGGCACATCTAGACCACATTGGAACGGACCTGAAAAACTCTCTAGATCAAACCATTTGCTCAAGGAGATGCAATAGGCTGCAACAGAGCCAGCAGTCAAACCTCTCCAGACCTGCAAATATATTCATGGTGATATTCCACTGTACTTCACTTTCAGCTGCTGTGAGTGAACCCTTTATGAGTTGAACCCCATAAAGTGCCATGGCAGAGCAGAACACCAAGCTAATTTTTATGAGATCTGAGCAGAAATTCAGAGCTAATAACTGCAGAACAATCTTGCTAAATAGCCCTTTAGAAAGAGAAACAAGACTCTACCCATCTGCAGTTGTAACAGGGAAAAATTGCCAGCACAGAAGCCTGGCTGAATTTTTTTGCATATGATTATAATCTGCCTTTCTACATTCACCTTTTCTTTTCAAGGAGATCACATATTCTTTGCTTCCTGTCCCAGACTGTTTTCCAGTGGCAGATTGCACTCATGTTGTGTGTCTCCTACTCACCAGAGTTAATTACTTTTGGCTGACAAGGCTCTTCACGTTTTTCTCTCCTCGGAATGAGAAGCGCCCTTTAGTACAGCACTAATGGAGATTGCCCTTCACCGCAGGCAGTAGCAGATTTTGGAACAGGACACTGCCCTTCACCACAAGCAGTAGCAGATTTGGAGCAGGAGATTGAACCTTCTATCCAGCTCAGTAGCTTTCTGTTCTCTCCAGAGAGTAAAAGTTTATTTAAGGTATTGTCMCCCARCTGGACTGTTGGCATTTTGCATGGSTTTGCTSTACATCAGGAGCTCCACCTTGGGARCAATGAATCTCTCTCTGGTGCCCACTCTTTCAGAGGTCTCAAAAAAGTCCAACCAGAAGGTATCTACTTCTAAACAGCCTAAATCTATCACACAGCAGTCCCGACCTTTTTTAAAATTTGTTCATGCTTTAGACCCACAGACCACTGTGGACCCGCTTCCTTTCTTCTGCTGTACCAGGTATTTCACTGTTCCTTTTCCCTCCAAAACATCATAAACATGTTTGACCACATCACACAATCCTATCAGCCCTCTCCAAGAGACAATAGTGCTGGGCAGGCTCCCCTACCTCAACCTATCTTACCTACCCTACCCTCTTATTCCTCCAATGCTTCTTTGATCTCTTTGGTGCTCACAGATCCCCCAGTTTCTTCCTTTGCTCTGTGTTTTTTGTTGTTAGGTACTCAGTCATCAAATGAAAAAAAGGCTTTGGCTTGATGTCAAAGCGATCAGTGCACTACYAAATAAAGCCTAAGGCTCTAGCATTTCATCCTTTCTTTCTCCAGACTCCTCCTCCCACCTCCACTCCTCCCCTCCAGTCAACAGCCACATGCACACATCTCTAGTACCTACTGGTATCCTTTTCTAATAAAGCATCTCAAACCAATCGCTACTGTATTATCAGACATTCTGGTATGGACACAGAAAGCAAAACATGAGGATTTAAGTTCCTCTCTCCCACTGCCTKGAAAATCAGCAGCAGAGCAAAGGTTGCACAGAGCACAACTAGCACATGAGGCAAGGCTTGCTGTAACCACCAGACCAGCAGTGGCAAACCWCTGGCTCTACAGCTAAGCACAGCACCTGCCCCAGACAAAAAATAACCCACCTTCTTTGGCTTTTGATCTCCCTGAATTAATTTGGCACTGAATGCCCAAAAGCTCTGTCCTGCCTGCAATAGGTTTTACCCAGTTTTCCCTCCTCACATCCTCCAGCTGAAGACATCTTCCTTTTCTTTMCCCAAAAGACTTCTGCTTTCCTGCTTTTCCAGAGCTCTCAGCCTGGGCTGTGACACCCTACTTCCATAGGGCTTTATACTGGGAGTATAAAGTGCACTGACCTTCAAGGCCAACGTCCTTTCTATCATCATCCTTGGAGACTGTAAATACATCTACTCCGGAAAGCTGGTTGTTTCCCTGAAGCTATTTATAGCATTAAAATCACTCTTCTTTCTTCAGGTTTCTGTCTGCTTTTGTCTCTGTATAGAAATTAAAACCSTGGATATAGCCCAAGGAAAAACCACGTCCTGTTCACCAAAGCATACCAGACTGAGGGCGGATACTGCCAACGCTGGCTGGGATTCATCAGACACTSCTTCACTGCTTGGAGACAAAGAGATCTACAAGTTTTTGGTAGTGCCTTTGGGAAAGGAAAAATGGGGCATGATACCCATTCAAAACCTCAGTGTCCCTCCAACACCCAATGTATTTAGCTTTGCATCAGCCAATTCAGAAAGTAGGAAAGCAAAGTGAGACCATGGCAAACTTCATGGACTCATCACAGAAGTGGCCAAAGCATTTTGAGACCCCCTCTCCCGGTGAAAGCTCAGCTGCCTCCTTTCAGACTAGGCAGAGCATGCAGTTGAAATTTCCCTGCCACCAGATGCAGCAGGGTATAGTTGAGCTCCTAAAGTGCTAAAAACCTCAGAGCAATGCAAATATTTCAACATCTGCTTTTATTCTTCAGTAACACCTGCAAAGTCCAAGCCAGGCAGATCTAATTTGAAAGTGGATTAGATCTCAGCTAATATGAATTTGRTCCTCACTTTTAGAATCTTTTGGCTTCCTATGGGATGGGAACACCCCCAGGTGTCTCTTCCCAGGTCAGCTTCCTTGAGGAAAACGTGAATGTCTTGGCCAGTTTCTTATAATAAGATGCTGCTTTGTAAGCAGGATTGTGAAGCCCTTCAGGCACTGGGGGAATGCACACACATCCACTTCCCAATGTTGCTCCTGTACTTCTCTCTCCAAGCATTAATCTATAGCCTGATTCCCAAAAAGTCAAATGCTTGAAACCCCTCCTCCACCATTCCCTTCTGCATCTTGACCACAGCGCATCCCTCTCTCCAAGCATCTCTGGGAATCCCAAAACGTGGGGCTTTCTCCCAAACTCCTCCCTACAAGCATCCTTCGCTTGAGCATCCTTCCTGCATCTCAACCTTTTGAATAGTTCTTACTCCAACCATCTCTGCTGCATACCTCCCTCCAAGCCCTCTGCTACATTCCAACCTGAGGGCATCCCTCTGAGTATCCCTCCCAAACATCCCTACCCTTACCCTGTGTATCCTTCCCTCTGAGCATACCCGTTCCTGAGAACCCCAACTCYATCCTGATCCTCAAGCAGCCCTTAATTCCAGCTCCTTCCTGCATCCCAACCCCTGAACAACCTCCTGTATCCTGACTGCCAAGCATTCTAGCCTTTGAGCATCCTTCCTGCACCACTTTCCACAAGCACCCTTCCTGCACCACTTCCCTTGAGCAGCCTATCTGCACCCCTCACCCAGAGCATCCCTCCTGCACTCCTCATTCCAAACATTCCTCCAGCATCTCTTCCCCTGAACACCCTTCCTAAACCCTTTTTGCTGAGTATCCCTTCTGAATCACTCAAGCTGAGCACCCTTCCTGTACCTCCTACCTCGAGCACTTCTCCTGCACCCCTCACCCCGAGCATCCCTCTAGCACTCCTTTTCCCGACTCCTCTTGCACCCCTTCCCCTGAACACCCCTCCTACACCCTTCACACTGTGTATGCATCCTGAACCACCCCTCACCCCAAGCATCCCTCCTGCACCCCTCACCACCAGCATCCCTCCTGCATCTCTCACGCACCTCTTTCCCCGACTACTCCTCCTGCATCCCTTCCCCTGAGCATCCCTCCCGTATCCCGAGCTCAGACCTCCCTCCTGCACCACTTCCCCGGCATCCGGCCCCCCACCCTGCGATCACCCCAACCCCCGACCGCCCCGCTCCTGCACCCCTTTCCCTCTCCCCCGCCCCGCGTTACCTCCGGCCAGAGCCGGGATGCGGCGTTGGCCGGCTGCGAGCCGCAGTCCCGGGGCAGCGCTGGGCAGGGCCGAGGGCGGCGGCGAAACTACATCTCCCAGCGGGCCGGGCCGTGCTGTGCTGTGCCGGGCCGTGCGGGAGCGCCGCGCCCCCCGCTTCCTCCGCCTCCCTCCGCCTCCCGGCCAGCGGCGGAGCTCGGCGGCTGGAGGGGGCGCAGGTGGGTCCCCGACGGGGCTGGGGGGGTTCCAACCGGCTGGGGGGCCTGGGGAGGGCCGGGGGCACCCCAGCGGAACTCCCCGGCGGGGCTGGGGGGACACTGAGACACGGGGAGGAAGTGGGACCGGCGGCCGAGAGCTGGTCTGCTGGGGGATGCGGGAAGGACTGGTGAGCCCCCTCTGAGGAGTAATTTGTGGTTATGTTTTTAGCATTGTAAGCTAATTTAGTAGTGCGAGCGCCTGGCTATATGGGGAGGAGCCGTACCTACGATTGTCCGAAACAGGGTCGGGCTCAGCGCCACTCTGCAAACTTTGCACATTCCCCTTTCCCTCTCCAATAAAACATCTCAGAAATTTAAGGATTCAGAGCGAATCCAAGCCCTGTATGTCCACACCCGGGATATGCAGCCAGGGGGGGTCCGCCTAGGCAACAGGCATGATATATGCCCTCCAGAGCGTCTAATTCTGGGTGGTGCGTACCTCGTTAGCGTGATTTCTGAGTGGGTTTTGCTGTGGTGCAGCAGCATCAGAGCTGGAAATTAGCCGACCTCTAATTGCAGGGGTGCTTTGGAAGCGATGGTGTTAGTGGGAGATGAGGTGGAAACTGCATTGTTGAACCAGCCCGTGTGTCCATCAAGCAGATGGTGGGCTACCACCTGTGCGTGAAATTGTTCGGGGACAAAACAAAGTGGTCCATGAAGGAAATAAAGAGTATCTRGAAGATACTCTAGGGGATGCCACGTGATACTTGAATGGGTGCTTGGACAGGACATTGAAAATCAGTGAAAACTTCTGCCAGAACTGGCATTAAGTGGGTGTATTGAACTGTACAAAGGGTTACAATGCCTATATTGGACTGTACAAAGGGTTACATCAGCTCGGAAGGAAAAGTGATGCTCCCACTGCCCTGTGACCCCAAGCGGGCTCCTTTCTGGCAGCCGGTGGCAGTGCCCTCCTGACCATCTGCACTGCCCACYCAGCAGCCCCTGAGCCCACGGGTTTTAGAGGTCACTCCAGAAGAGCGCTGAGCACTGCAGGACTTTGGCTTTTACACTCCAGACATGGCTGCAGCCGCATCCCTGTGGCTCTGCACTCCCTCTCCCCCTCCATCTTGTCATCAGCCGTTCTCCTTCAGCAGCACTTAACCTTCTTTTCGTTCTYCTGCTCCCTGCTGTGCGCTGCTGCTTTTGTTCTGCTCTCAGGAGGAACTTGACCTTTTTATCGCTTTATATCGCTCCTTGCTTTTACTAAATGAGCGCCAGCTCTATTTTCCTGCCTCCGCCTCCCTACCCCTTCTCTTWAAGCGTAAATTCAGCATCTGCAGAGAGCCTACGCGAAGCCTCCTGCATTCAGCTGCATCCCTAAGCAAGCAGCGCCGGAGATGCTCAAGGGCACAGAGGTGCAGGTTTGGGAAGGGAGGAACACACACCATCGTACCCACAACAAACCAGGGCTGTTACGAAACTCCCGTTCACGCTTTCCCATCCTTCCTGCGTCTCGCTGGCAGAGCAGCGTCTCTCTGCGTAACAAAACAGGGTCAGAAATAAAATATAAATTAAGTATAATATAAATATGAATTAAATATAAATTAAATATAAATAATTGGCAGACAAGCAGCTGCGTTCCGAAGGTGGATAGTCAGTATGTCTGTCTCCCAGTATTGCAGCCGCCGGTAGATCGATAGCAATGCTGTCGCCAGAAGAGAAAGGAAGGGTGACCCGTCGTTTCCTGCCTCACGCCTGCTGGGAATTTGAGTCCCCTCCCAGAGCCAGTCACCGTGTCCCCCGTGCCAGCCTCGGGGTGAGCGGCCTTTCCCCAAACGCCTGCTGGAAATTTCCAGAGGCTCCCCAGCAGTCTCCAAACAAAAAGCTGCTATGCCTCGCCGCAGGCGCTTCATTTTGGGATCTGTTGCTCCTGGCAGACACGCCATGCTCTGCTTCACCGACCGAATTTAAGCCTCTTACGTGCTGCCTCAGTTGAACGGATTCATATTAAGTAAGTGTCCAAAATCAGGTGGGTCCGTTCTGCAGCAATGGGAAAACATGGGATTTCCTCTCTAAGATTGCCAAAATAAGCGTATAGGGTGCAGAGACTTAAATTTTCTGCAKTAGAGAATAAGCTAAGTAAATGTGCATCAGGGATATATGAAGGAAGGGGCAAGTGTTTTGTTGCAAAGGATTTTGTCCAAAATTCTTCCCAAAACCCAGCTCTCATTGATACSTACTGTCTGCTGAAAGCTGGGTAAGTGGTCAAAAGCTGGGTTGTTTTTTTTAATCCCCTATATACTATTTTTTTTTGTTTCTGCCCTGCTGGGTTGTTTTTTTTATCCTATCTTTCATGGGGTGAAAGAGGTCTAGGCTTCAACTTCCTTGTTTGCAGCCCCCATAACACAGAAAGGCATGAGCTGGTAGGGTTTGGATTTTCTCCACGAAGTTGTCCCCTTGAGAAGGGACAAGGCACAAAACTGTTCTGCAGGTAGAGTTACAAGCAACTGCCATGGGTTTGGCTGTGTCCAGATCTGGAGTTCTGAGCTTCATGAGGTCTTGTTTGTTTTTTCCCTCGGGGCTCGGGTGTTGTAGGGAAACTGGAATTTTTACCTCAAACCAAAATGTGCGTTTCAGTAAGACACAATGTAGCAAAGTGATACATGCCAAGTGTGGGAAACTGAGGCAAAACCCTAAAGCAGAATGAGCTTCACACAGGAGGGAGCATCTTTGCCTTCTTACGTGTTCACAATTCATATGCTCTAATGGAGCAGACTGGAGCCCCAAACATCTTTTGCYGAATACCATGTAGTCTCTAGCAGACATACAGGTGCCCAACTRTTTCTTTTTTCATAACTCCTTTTGAGCTGAAATCAATCCTGCCCCTCCCAAGGCAGAATTACTTCCTATAAAACACTACCTGATCTGTCTCTTGCAACATTTGTCTACTTGATGTGGCTTTCACCAGCTCTCTAGGGCACAACTCAAAAAGCCAGAGAGGTTTTTAGTCTGGCTGCTCTTCCTGATGCTTAGCAGAAATGATTCCTGGCTTGATTTAATTCTATTGCCGCTTAGGCGTCATTCATTCCGCCAGACTAAATAATTAATTTCTTCTTTTTCTTTTTCCTGTGTACTTATTTTGCGGTTTGTTGTTAGTCCTCAGTTATTTCTTACAGCAGCTGCACTTATTTCACTGTCTTAAATACAGGTTTTCCAAGTTTTGGTTGTGGAGGGATATTTTGCAGGTGAGCAATTGAAGGCTACACTATAAAATTAACCAGCAGTGCAGTACTTTAAAGTTAGGAGGCCCTGGTACARACTGCACAGAGAATCTGTGGCTGCCCCATCCCTGGAAGTGCTCAGGGCCGAGTTGGATGGGGCTTTGGGCTGCCTTGTCTAGTGAAAGGTGTCTACCCATGGGAGGTGGGTTGGAACAAGGGTTCAATTAGAAACTAATCTTTAGGGTCCCTTCCAAACCAAGCCATTCTATAATTGTGCGATTCCATGAAATTAAAACCATTAAAAACAAATGTCTTTGTAAATGTCCATGTAATGCTACATCTTGCAGCAAAAAACCCTATTGCTATAACAGCGTATGTTAACATATGTTATTATTTCAGGGGATGCTATGGYTTTATGCATTTAATGCCATGTGTCAGGGCTTCAGAGGCCCTAAGCAGCCTATGGGATGGATTTTGAAACCTTAACAACTCAACATGATCCTCTTCTACCAAATTACAGTTTYCTCATGTTTTGCTGCTCTGTGTTTAATTAATCTCATTACTTAAATCCCCTGAATGACACTAGGATCAGCCTGTTATCCACATCTTGGGCATTGCTGCTGAAATCCAGAAGGATTGATTCATTTTCCTTCCCTGACATTTTCAATGTGAAATCTGTGCTGGCAATTAATTTCTTTTTCCAATAAAAATCTTGTTAAAAATTGTCTTTATATATATATAGCTATAGGTATTTTTTGACAACCATGTAAACATATCTATTACTTTAGACATTCCATTAAACTGCATTCTTTTTGCCAAAAAGGATAGATTGTAGCGGTTTGCATTTTTTCAGTAGTTAAATAGTAATATTTGTGCCATTTGTTTGCATTTTATTTATGTTGGCAAATCATGAYTCATGGGTTTTTTTGTTTTGATGGTTACTGTACACTTGTGGTTTTTTGCCAAGTTGGGTGAAACAGGCACTCAGTTAAATTATGTATACAGAATTTTATTTATTAGCTAATTAAAGCGCTCTTAAATGTGATGAATACAGGAGAGGGGAAATAAGCTTATCCAAAGCTGTTCTGCATTCAAAATTGTTATGAAACAAAGCAGTATGATAATGATGGTTCTAAATATGTGAAGGCATTGATAAGTGAAAACAGTTTTTGTCATGTTGCATACTTTTATATCTTCTTGCTGTGTCAGCCCCCATCACTCTCCCAGATTCAAAGCAGTTATTTGCTGAACTAAACTCATGGGGTAGGTTATACARAAATGTACTCTATGCAGCTGATGAAGATGCTGCTGTGAGTAAAACCAAAGTAAAATTCACAAGCTGTTGTCAGTTGAAATGCTCAGATGCTCAGACAAGATTCAGTTCAGGAGTTTGACTTTTTCATAAAGCTAACCTCTGCACTGCTAGTTTCTTTTAATTTACATGACATGATAAGACTAGGACTTTAAATCAAATGTAGACTTCCCCCCCAATATTTAAAGAGGTATTTAAATAAAGGTTGCTCTTAAAAGTACAAAATAGATCTTGCATTCTTCAGCCAAATTTGCATCTTCAGTGTCAGATTAGATCTCTAACTGACCTAATTTGAATGAATTTTAAGYGCTACTTGGGGAGGAGCTACACAGGAGACTTTACTGTAATTCGCTGCTTCCAAGAAYTGTAATCCAACTGATACTTTTCCTTGGTGACTGCAGGTTATAGAATCATATAATCATAGAASGGTTTGGGTTGGAAGGGACCTTAAAGATCATCTAGCTCCGAACCACCCCTCATGGGCAGGGACACCTTCCACTAGATACTAGATGTGTAGCCTTCCATGTCCAAGATCAGATGCTCTTGGTACCTCCTCTTTGTGGAAATGCCACCAAGAAGTGATTTTCATGCTGCATTCTTGGACAACTTCTATCTTGCATTAGCAAAGTACCCAGGCTTGGTAAACCAGGGTAGGGACTGCAAATGCTGGTTGAATGAGCAAAGAAAGAAAACTTACAGCCCATTTAATTTCACTTTTTACAGAAAATGTTTCATGAAAAACATTTTTTCATAAACAAGTTTATAGGAAAAATAGCAGCAAARAATGACTTTCTTTCCCCAGCTACTGTCATGTATGTTGGCTGGYCAGTACATTAAGTCCAGGTTGATGATAAATCATGCTCGTTTGTGCTGAAGTTTTTGGTCTTCTGAGCTTCCAAGACTATCAGATTCATCTTCACACTATGYGGATATAAACCTTTAAGTAATGGGATGAATTAGGCAAAAGCAGACAATTAGGAATGACAGCTGGGAAATAGTTATCGTGCAGCCTCATCCATGGAYGAGATGTTTTCATTGTTAAATGTTTGAAATTTTATCTAGTGCAGGGTCAGTGGGGAGGTTCAAAATCAGAGCAGTCTGTTGAGACTGAAATCAATCTTGTTTATAGACTGCAAAAGAGCCATAAGCAGAATAGGCTGGCCAGGGCACGTGTCTGAAATGCCCAGAGATGGGAGAGGAGCAGAGCCCACACGCTGAGAAACTGCCAATCTCTGTGCTACTCTTCCAACACCAGATCTAAAGCTTGGTTAGATTTCTGGTGCTGTTGCTGCCAGCATAGATGCGGTCTACAGCTTCAGACGGCTCATGTTACTGCCATATTTTGTTGGCAATGTCCCTTTTGGACTGCTTATAAGAAAACAGTTACAGGAGATTTTTTAACATTATCTGTTCAGGTTGGGCTGAGCCATCTGCTTCTCATTTAGGCTTTTATTAAGGTGTTGGATCAGAGTAAACCTAGGATAGATGATAAGTTTGAAATGAAGATATGTAGCTTTGGACTATATGGTGGTCTTTGGGTTGTGACTCTTGACCATGKGCTCTGCCAAGTGAAGCCTTGTCACAGACACATGAAGGGAAATATCTTGCTCTGTTTGTGGTTAAGGCTGGMAGAGAGTATGAGAAAAAACTCTGATGGTGTAGATAAGCAGGCTTGGACTCAAAAATCTGAAAGTTTCACCTATGAAGAAAGAACATGTTGTTTAGTCTACAGCAGCTTGAGGGGCAGCMGAGGTGGAAAGCATGAAATGAAGCATGAGCAAGCAATGAAACAGCTTTTGGAGTCAYTGTCAGTTCTGCTTCTATAGGCTGTGTTATTTGTAGGGAGGTATGGGGAAGCTTCTGTTTGACGAAATATGAAAAAAAGTAAAATCCATTTAAGGCTTTTTTTAATGAATGTCTGATTGTGCTTGTAGCAATGCTTTTGCAGACATTTTTCAAGCCCTTAGGKGAAAAATACATGGCAGGCACTCGTGCTACAGAATTAAATCAGTTGAAGCCTCCACATGATCAGGTTTAAACAGCTCTTTGACTCTAAATTGGGTTGAAGTCTTCAAAAGTGGGAAGTACGCTGAGACTGTAGTGCCAAGGGGAGTTCAGCACTGAACAGATAGTTTCTTCTGGAGTATATTTGGCTGAGGTTAGTCACAAGAATGGTCTGTGGTCATTGGTGCACGTGGTGCTGTGTTGGCCTACGCATGCATCTTTATTTGCCAATTTTGCTGGATTCATGGGACTGAGGGAAAGCACTCTGGATTTAGAGATCTGGTTTTTTCCATTATTGTACAGTGGGATATAGGCTGTGTGCCAAGGGCTAAAGAATAAGGAGGAATGTTAGTCTTTAAAAGCTAGTGAAAGACAGGCTCTCCTTTGACCTGTTAATTACAGTTTTTCTTAGCAAAATGTGATGCTGTCTAGAGCTATATTTGTTTTAGAATGCCATTAGCACTATTATCTAGGTTTTAGCAGCCATAAAAGAATTGATATTTCAGCACAAGATGACCTTCTCCCTRTCTGCATTTTGCTGTGACTACAGAGCTGATAATAGTGGATAGTGTCAATGATTATTCCATTAGTAGTTAGGAAAATGCCTGCACTTTAGATGAATTTTAAGGAAGCTCTTTGGCAGCTTTCTGTTGAATGGCTGTAGTTACTACAGCAAGAGCTACCTCCTGCCTCTGTAAGCAAACACTGGCGGGTTTCCTGCTGAACTGTTGATTGATTCAGATTCAGAAAAGAAGGAAAAACAGGTTTGCAGGTCCTTAGGTAGCAGAAATAGTGGCCCACCTGCACAAGAGAGCTGACCAGAGCTGCAATGGAAATGGCTGTATAGCTCCTTTCTTTTCCTTTGCTCCAGCCCTGGCACTGGTCCAGTTCCAACATACAGCAGAAACATGATGAATAGAAAATGTTGGGGTTTGTCCCTAAACTGTGGGGTCAGATGAGTGCTAGAAGTGGCATAAGGGAGGAGGATGTTATCCTAGAGGGCAAAGGCAGGTCATGCCTCTTCGTAAGGCTGAACTGCACCTTAAAATTGCACCCTCAGTTCATGTCAGCTGATTGCAGAGGCTCTGCATGGAAACTATGTCAACTGTAATATGGCCCTAAAAATGTTTTCTAGGTAAAGCACATTGGAAGGAGAAAGCCTGGGAGTGGTTTTTTTTACTGAAAGGAGCCACAGACTGTTGTGTGCTTACGGCAACAACTGCTGTCTGGCTCCCTGCTAGGCTGACTGCACTCAGACATGTGTCAGGGGATTCTGCTGAATGGCTTTGTTGCTTTAATCATATTTTCAAACACTATGGAAGATGTTGGGATGTGTCCAGCTCTTTTCCTGTCCTTTTTTTGCCCACTCAGAATTCTGTGTTTGTCAGGGAAATAAGATCATATGAGCCCAGAACACAACTTTGAAGTCAGCTCTCATTGTAGGTATTGGTGGGAGAGATTTCACTTTTAGTGTGRTTGTAAGACATGATTTCTGGCACTAAACTGAATTAAACAAAGTCCTGTTCAAATCTGTTAGGGAAAAAACCATCCTTATGCTTGTTCTCAAGATACAACCTCAAAAAGTATTWCCTCACTTCTAATTTCTATGGTAAAGTCTTGCCATGTGGTTACCCTTATATATTTAGGACTATTTATCTCTGTAGTTTAACCTTTCAAAAAGGTCAGTGCAACTAAATGTGTGGTTTTGGATTTTTTTAATATTTTTTTTTTTAGAATTAGTCCCAACACTGTGGCTTTTGCATCATGTCAGAACCTATCACGCTCAATGTTGGAGGAAAACTCTATACCACCTCTCTGTCGACACTGACTAGCTTTCCAGACTCCATGTTGGGGGCCATGTTTAGTGGGAAGATCCCAACCAAGAAGGACAGCCAAGGCAACTGCTTTATTGACAGAGATGGCAAAATCTTCCGCTATATCCTGAACTTTTTACGAACTTCTCACTTGGACCTCCCYGAAGACTTTCAGGAAATGGGCTTACTGCGGCGAGAAGTAGATTTTTACCAAATTCAGCCACTGATTGAGGCCTTGCAGGAGAAGGAGGTAGAGCTTTCTAAAGCAGAGAAAAATGCCATGCTYAACATCACTCTCGACCAGAAGACCCAGACTGTTCACTTCACTGTCCGAGAAGCACCCCAGATTTATAGCCTGTCTTCATCCAACATGGAAGTGTTCAGTGCTCATATCTTCTCCACATCATGCCTGTTCCTGAAGCTTCTCGGTTCCAAACTTTACTATTGTTTCAATGGAAACCTTTCCTCAATATCCAGTTACCTGCAGGACCCCAACCACTTGACCTTAGATTGGGTTGCAAGTGTGGAAGGTCTTCCCGAAGAGGAGTACACCAGGCAGAACTTAAAGAGACTCTGGGTGGTGCCAGATAATAAGCAAATCAATAGTTTCCAGGTGTTTGTGGAAGAAGTGCTGAAAATAGCCATGAGTGATGGTTTCTGCATAGATTCTGCTCATCCACATACTTCAGATTTCATGAATAATAAGATTATTCGCCTAATCCGGTACAAGTAGAAATGGCTGTTTGTTGTGGTGCCAGCATGGAGATAACACAGGTTAAGTGTTTCCCTTTAAAACACACTTACAGCCTAATTCAGAATCATGCTTATCTGGATTAAGAGTCACTAAYAAGGAGATGATTTTCCTTTAATGTACTTACCAATACGACCTTTCAGAGTATGTCCATATTCCAGACAGAAGCAATCTTGTCTAGCACCTGAATTAAGGACTGGTTCTGTCTCAGCCTCTGCCTCTGACCTGCTGTACAGTTCTGGGGAAGWTCACTTAACTTCTGTCCTCTCTACRTTTTCCTGTTGGAAAATGGGAGTGATCYTTAACCTGCATTGCCAGGGGATGTGACRGTTCAGTAYCCATGGTTTGGAATGTATCTAGAGMACAGATGCAGTGAAAGATACCATGGAGCTGCAGTGCAGCAGACAGCCCTAGGAGCACATTTGCCACGTCTTGCTGTATCACCTGTGTGGAGGTCCAAGAAGCTTGTTTGGATCTGCAGAGAAGCTTTCCCACGTGCACTCAATACAGCTGTAAAGGATGGTGCAAATTGCAAATAAGGGATCCTGTCTCTTTAGGTTCAACAAAGGATTTCTGTTGCCCTGTGAAGCTGGCTTGGGTTTTTTTCTGAACCCTGTGAGGAAGCCCCTGCTTTATTCTGCTTTCAGGGAAGCCGTACTGGACTAATGGGACTGGCAAAGAAGCCATGGAAGAGAGAATGGTGTTCTTACAAACCAAGAAGATTAAACCTTTACTTTTACATTCCAAAGGCATCCAAGACTACTAATCTGATTTCCTTTTACAATGTTAATGTTTGTCTGGAGGATGCTTCTGACAATTTTTAAGGTGAAGACAGATTTTGGGGCAGAGGCCCCCATATGTCTTCTAAACATTTGAGCCTCTTTTGGGCACATCTCCCTTCAGCAGWACCTGGAATGCATGGAATGTGCTCTGGGTAGGATATATTCCATTGGAAAAGACAACTTTCTCACYAGGTTACACCTAATACTTTTCATTGCTAAAACTGAGGCTCATTTTTCCTATGTTGGTACATTGAGCCTTATTTTGGTTTMATATCTTTGTGAAATGGTCAGGTCRCTAAAAGAATTTCACCTGCTTGCTTGACTTCTGTGTCAGCTTGSCAGAGGGAAGACAGTGGGAAACCAGAGGTCAAGCTCTTCCCTAAACACCCRGTCTGTGCTGTAATGAAGCTCATAACAGTAGCTGCATGTTGTCTCTAAACATAATTTGTGCCACGCTCAAGATGGTTCTTTCTCAGCTAATTATGTTTAAAAGTATCTTAACTGTATTTCCCTAACCAGATTGTTTTGMGTGCATGAGATGCCCTCTGGAACATTTTCAGGTGTCTTTAATGAGATAGAAGGGAAAATGCAATAACTATGTTTTGCATTTAAAATTTTAGTGCTTCTGAAGGTTCCTAGCACAGGGCTGCAAAGCTCAGTACTATGCATGTTCTTATTTCCCAAAGTAACTACTCTGTCATTACATTAAGCTGACCTGTGAACAAGGATAAAGAAGCTTTTTTTCATGTAAAATAAAACCAGTGAGATCAGTATATTTCTACTATCTCAAGCTGTGACTGCATGAACAACAYAAATCTGCATGTTGATGGGTAAAATGCACATTCTGCAGATGTTGCCAGCCTGTTGCAAGCCACTGCCCTTTGTCTGACTTGGTGCTAAACCAGCATGCTATATATGGGACCATGTCAGAAAGCACTGCTTCAGCTTGAAGTCTTCAGAACCACTAAACATGGCAGATTTTGTGAATTTTGAGGAGTGTTAACAGGATTTTGTATGGAAATTCCAGTTTGAGTCACAATGTTCTTCTAGTGTTAGTTGCATTAGGAAGAACTCTATTTTTTTCCACCCCAATCCTGAATTATGAAGCACAAGTTTGCCAGTCAGCTGGACATTCACAGTGATGACATGCTGATGATTATGATTTGTAAAATGAATGCTCTTTCATCAAATCTGTGACTTGGAACAGATATACCTTTGCTGAATTTATGATAACAGGGCATTTGGGGACTGTTGACAGTATTTCTTTTTAACCCATACCCTTGAGAGTAGATTTTAAATTATCTGAAACCACCGTTCTTGTATGACTAAAATAATACTYGAAGGTAGGAATTTTTTTCCTGTCAGCTTGAGTTTATCCAAAGGTAAGAGCAGTGGGTTTAGACCTAATTTAAAAGGGAAGCGGGGGAAAAGTCTAACCCACACCCTTTAGAGCTCTGTATCAGTACTGCTTCACTCTGTTTCAGCAAAATATTCCACGGGAGACTACTGCATTTTCTGGTGAAAGGCAAGTAAGAGCAGTCTGTAAAAAGAGAGAACTGGACTCAGATCTTCACCTGRAGTGCTTTAACCCATCAGTCGGTTATGCAAAAGATTAACAATTGAATACAAATTTGTGCTCATGGAACTAAGTCAGAAAAAAGTACAGCTGGCCCCAGATCTCTGTCATTTATTGATAGACAGTGAGATGCAAAGTATCTCTTTTATATATGTAGATAGATGCAAAATTTTGACCAGTATAAAGACATGAGTGAAGCCAGCCATGCTTTGGGAGAAACAGAGAAACTTGAGGTACATCTAACTTGCTAAGCACAATAACCATCCTTAAGTWGAGGTACTATTTATACTGGAAATGSGTGGTAAGTGAATCACTTGTGATTGCAGTCAAACATATGTTCTACAAATGCAGCTGCTATTTCTAACTCCACACTAAGCTCAATTTATAGCTGCTCCCGAATTCTGCARTCTGTGAGTTATAATGACTGTTCATAGGAACATTATCTCTCCAGAGCATTTGTTTGCATTTTATCTGAATAGCTGTTTTTTTTGTTTACCTCCTTTTTCTGAGCCCAGAAGGTAACTTGCTTCTGTTTACCAGTYAACAGCACTGATAATGATTCTTCTCAAGAGTTTTCATGAATTAAAGAGAAGCAAACATGTACAAAGCCATACTAAGTATAGCACAACCCCGTGACTAGTCATGAAAARCACTTGGCATTTATTAGCAGTAACATCTAAAAATTATTTCACTGTTGAGTGGAATATTCCCTCTCAGAAGAAACATTTTTTCCTGGAAAGGAAAGAATTTATTTTCTTCCCTTAAAGTTTGACGGGTGTTTTCTTCTACATCTTGGTGCAAAACTTCGGATTCTGCCATATGCYTGTCTCCCTCAATACCTTAGTGCACAACATGAGGCCAAGCCCTGCAATTTTTTTAAGTAGCCTCCATTTTTTTTTTCCCTAAATGGCCACTGAATAGAGCTTTCAGTAGTGTTAGAGCAGAAGCATACTAGAGTTAGGGCAGAYGATAAACAAGATTTTAGCAGTAGTCTAAATGGCATTCTCATATCTGGACATGCGCATGGCACAGTGGTATTTCTTGCATGACACAAAGAGTATTATGAAACATCTTAATGGACTTAGAATCACTCATGGATTTATGTGTTTTTAGGCTTGATATCTCTTAAATACCTAACCATGTCCGGTTACAATAATGAGATTGAAACTCTGCATAAATATTAAGAGATACTTGGTTAAGGGTTGTGAGGAGTTGATGGGAGGAGTGTTTGTTTCTGTAGGCAATAGTAAAGAAATAAAAAAGTAGTTGTAAAAGACTTGAAAGAATTCATATGTTAACAAGAAATCCAAGGTTTAGAAAGGAGAGAATAAAAATATCTTGATGAAAGGAAAAAAAAAAAAAAAACCCAGCAAGATTACAATGGAGACAGATTTGTTACAAGAGACAAAACAAGTGACTGGAATGATTCACTGGTCCTTTCCAGTTTTGATCTCCTGTTATGCACTTTAAATATGGGTCATGCCAAGTGTGATACTAGTAGCTTCCTGGGAGCAGGCAGCTTTACTTCAATTTGCATGTGCTTCAAATCACCAAATATTTGCACTGCTGTACTTAGCACATTATAACAGGGCTGTTGAGTATAAATTGCTGCTCCTGTTCACTGGCAGCAAATACCTGCAGTCAATCAGATTTATTCCCAGGAATAAAAGTCTAGGTGGAAAGACTGGTGGAGTCAGTATATAAGGTTGATGGAAGTGATAACTGCCTTCAGCCACAAACTGTGGAAAATAAGTCTARGATCTTCTGACAYTTCAAAGATAAACAGAGAAGTTATGAAGAAAACTGCTTTGGGGAGTTTYATTTTTCCCACTGAACTTGGTGCCACTGCTCAGAATTTCAATAWATTTTGAAATATTTTACTTCAGTTATGCATCCATGCACTGATGGACACAAACWTKYAGGGTACAAGMAGTGCTAATATGTAGCYTTCCYCATAACAGTCTCATATGTGAATTARTACAGGCAGTCATACAGATATTCTGTCCAAGATCGAGCATAAATATCCAGATCAAGCTCACAGATTCATTTGGGAGTAACACAAGGAATGTTTTCCCTATGAATTCAGAGGAAAAAAAAAAAAAAGGAGATGTAGAGGAATGCTGTATTTCATAATTTATTTTCTCCTCATCCTCTTGGCAATTCCTGTAGTATTTTCATACTCCCAACTCCTAATTGCAAGGTTTTCCCACTGCTCAGAATTTGGACCCCAATTCACTAAAAACCATGCTTTTGAATCAGTAATGTTTGAAAAGTGTGAGAAGATGGTCTTTGTTGCTTACCACCTTCACAGAGAGCCTGTAGGACTCACATTTAAAAATCTGATTGCACTTCTGTGCTTGTAACTGTGAACTGTTACTAMTATGTCTTTTAGAAAGCAGTAAATAAAATGTGAATGAAACAGGAGGTGCTCTGCCTAACATGTATTTCTTGAAAAAAAACCCATGAATTATGTTTGCTGCACCTGTAGCTTTTCATTTCCTCTAATGATTTTACACAGTGCTTGACTGCAATGCTTACCTCACCCTCTCTGTGACTGGGAATTGTAGGAAGCTCCCCAGGAATTAGTGCAATTGTAGAAAACCTGGATGAACAAGACTTTATAAATAATCAAAACCATTTTAAATGCATTGGCTTGTTTATGTTTCAAACATTTATAAACCGAGGATTTGTTTTCCAGTGAGAGCCCTTCTTAAACCCTGGTGCTTTACTGCTGTTGCACTTGTCTCTARTTCCTGAGCTTGAGTAAACCATAATACAATGCTGCTGTACTGGAAAAAAAAAATTGAACGTATTATCTGTATGATTCCATGCAGCTTCTATAAGGTATTATTCCTAGACAGATGAAGGTTTGCTGTAAGGAAGCTAAAAAGACATCAGCTTTGTATGCATCCACCCTCCAGGCTGGCAGGAAGGTTATGAAAAAATTGAGCGTGTTCCTCTGAAAGAGCCCTTTGTACATGGAAGCTGACTTAACACCAGCACCACTGGCTGGAGATGGCACCTCCCTGGGGCAGAGATGTAATTTAAAGCAGTTWATGCCCAGGGGAGGTTGGGCCCTCACACCCCAGGCCAACTCCTCGCTCACACACACTCACTCCCATACTTCCTCCTCCTTCAGGYTCAACCTRAGCTTCCCTCTAGMAGCCTCAGGTGCT